CAGTGACTTCCTTATTGAAGGCAGTGTTGTAGTTCTATGAAAGAAAGTAGTTTCCCACAAGTCTTTAACAAATACTTTACTAAGTAGCTTGATTATCAGAACAAGAATCCTCAAGGCCTTGTTTCGTTTTAAAACATCAACGTTTTAAAATACAGGATTTCCATTAAATAGATAGTGGTTTTACATAACTCACTCTAGAAATAACCTTCATTCCTCTGATAATGTAGTATTTATGGTAAGCTTATAACTTCACTAAGAGCAGTCAAATAAGTTTAATCACAGGGATTTTTAAGCTCAGAAAACTTAGAGATCTACTTTAGAACTGATTCTAGAATGTTAAGGAATTTCCTTGTATTTATGAATACTAGAAAAATATCTTTAGTAGTCTGTGTGATAGAAAAACATTTCTAGCTTGTTATGCTAATGTGGAATCCAGGTGCCCTAATTAACTTTTGTTTCCTGAACACCTATATAAATCTGTTTGTAAAAGATACTTTAGGAAAACACTTTTAAACTGTACATTTTTGGTTTTAAATGTATTTACAGCTGAAAGTCTGGGTATAAATGTCTAGATTCCACAGGTGGCATCAGTTTATCAAAAACAGTTATGTTAACACTGACAACTTGAGCCAACAGCAGTGTTATCGAGTGTCAACTGAATTGCCCTAACATGTCCACATGCAATCTGGTGTTACCCAGTTACTACCTTCTTGCTTCAGAAAGTTAATCAGTATCTAATTTGCATTTGTTAATTAGGGTTAATGTGCACTAATTGATTTTTTGATGCTTGTAGATTTCCATTAAACCTGCTTAGCAATACTTATTTGGGTACCTCATTCATTTGAGTTATGATCATGTTTTTGTTGAATCTGTGCCAAACAGAAAGTCTGCATCATAATTATAGCTAATTAACAGATGATTATGTGCTGTATTGATGGGCTTCCCTAGTCTTCTGCTAATACGAACATTACAAATTTCAGATTTATTTATAGAGTACTTTGAAGTTTTTTAACAATAAAATTGAGGCTCTTAATTAGTAGATGGCACATGATCATTTGCTTAGTTTGCATAATTAAAGAGTCTAATAAAAAAAGTGTCATTCTAGAATAATTTTAGAAACTTATTTTGGTAATTAGTTATATTCAGCTTTTATTTAAAAACAGGTGGTAATCTGTATGGTCAGGATTTGTAAATATTTTTAGTTTCTTTTATAAATGAACTTATATTCTAGGTGCAGTAATGCTACTTTAACCTCATTCAGTTTTACTGTTTTTGAAAGTAAAAGGATAAGGGTAAGGTAAATCATTAATTTTCCTTTTAAGTCTGACATCAGAAATTAAAAGAGAAAATTTGAGTTATTTATAGTTTCCTCTTTGTGTCTTATAAAGAACAAGTATCACTATTAATAATACTGTTTAATTTTATCTACAAATACCATTTTAGCCTATAAATATTTAATGATGCACTTTTGCAGTTTCAACTTTGTTAAGTCCAAAGTGACCTCAAGGGATTTTAGAACTATTTATATTTTAAAACTTACATAATACTGACATAGAACAAATAGTAAATAAATAAGCAATCTTGTGTTTAAATGCAGAGCTAATTGGTAAAATTACGCTTAAGTGATTCAAGCAAATAGTACAATTTCTTGTGGCATGTACATTTTATTTCCTGAAATCTTAGGTATAAAAAGTGTAAAATGTACAAAACTTTCAGAACCTAAATATATTGCTTTTATAGCCCATCTATCCTGTGGCACTATAATAAAGAAATATAGTTCTAGAAACATAACTTCAAATACCTTATAATTTGAGGGAGGAGGAAAGAAACCTATTAACATTTCAGATGGTCTCCTTAATGTAGGAAAATCAATGATCCATCCAAGTGAGGGTTAAAAATGTTCTACTAGGACACCTTTTATCATTTTTAGTCTACAAATCTGAATTTATACTTGCCTTTCTTTTACTTTATCCTCAATTCACTGTATTTGCATAAGGCTCTCCAGACTTTTCCTCTTACTTATTTTGTTGATTCATACCTAACAGGTTGCTTGCTTTAAAATGTTCTGATTCTCCAGGCCCTATCAGAAGGAATAGGAACAATATCATGAGGTATATTTAACCATTCCTCAGAGTAATTAGACTACAACGGGTGAATGTTAAGAAAAATAATGTTATACCCTTTCATTTATGGTAACATTTAAGTATCTATATATGCCACATGAGCTGTTATTTTAACAATTAACATTCTTTATAGCCACCCCCCCTTCTATTATTGCTAAAGAGATCCTACATTGTGCTTGTCTTTTTAAATATTACCACACCAGTACAAAAAGTCAGAGCTCCTAGTCACATAACAATAAACCTGATGTATTCACTTGTCCCATTCCCAAACTTAAAGACATCCACTGACACTACAGGCCTGTCAGGAATACTTTAACACATCAGATACTTTTGAAGCTAGACATTTATAGCTTGACTGATATATTGAGTGCCTTAAAAGGAATAGGTTCCCCAACAGCTGCCCTCTTGGATTTAGGTGTTGTTCCTTCACAGAATCCATTCCTGAATGTGCAGTATACAATTTTTAGATGCTTCATTTGACCAAGTATGGTGATACTTTTTATCTTTTATCTTTGGCATTTCAGTTACACTTTTTCACCCACTTGGCATAGAACCACTTGCTGCAATTTGAGTTCTGAAGGCAGTAGGCTGTTCAGCCACAGCAGTAGGACAAAGAATGCATCTCACTATAACTCCTCCTTCAACTTGATTCTGCCTTGGAGACCAAAAAGGCTGAAAAGACTGCCCAACATCCCAGAAATTATAGGATCAATTTATTGTTTGTACATAATAAGCTTTGTCAAAATTACTGTTAGTGTGCAAACACAGACTTCCACAGTTAGACACAGGAGTTATTATTATATGGGTCTTTAATAGTATGGGTACTGGCTTTACTCTTTTTCAGGCCTCTTGCATGAACAAAATATGGCAAAAATGAGACTGCTAACTTTCATGGGAATGGCAGTAGAAAACAAAGAAATATCATTTGACACAATGCAGCAAGAACTTCAAATTGGAGGTGATGATGTTGAAGCATTTGTTATTGATGGTAAGGAAATTAGAACATTTCACGTTTTAAGAATTTCTTCTATTGCATGAAACAAGATTTGAATTTTGAATCTAAGCCTTGGGCTAATTATAGATTCATATCACAGATGTATATGTTTTAGATAAGTGGGTTTTATTTGTAGAATGGAAATATAAATTACAATGGGGATTTTTTTTGTGATTGTTCTATCCCTTGGAATCATACAACAAATAGCCTTTGGGCAGTAAACTGTAGAGCCTAGATTATAGTATCAGGCCTCTGTGTGTAACAGGAATACAGGAGCTAATTTGAGGTGGTGAGGATTGAATGAATTAAAATGCAGGTAAAAGACTACATTTACTCTGTGACTGACACATACTAAAAAACAAAAAAATATTAACCATTACCATGTTAACAGTTAATCAGTAATTTTTTCTGAGCTTTTTAAATATGAAAATACGATTAAGATTAGAAAGTATTCAGGAGTGGGCCCTCGCTGTTGGTGCAGTGGGTTAAAGCACTGAACTAAGAAGCTAAAGCCACTTCCTCATAAGTTTGATCCCGCCTGCCCTGGAGGCGACCACATGGTGTGGCAGACCTCTCCTGACCTGCCCGCTGCTCCCATCAGCAGTGTACTTCTTTGATCTGCCTGTTCTGCTCCCCATTCTGTCTCTGGTGAAGCCTCTCGCTGCCCCTGAGCCTCCGGCCTGTACCCCAGTACTGTATGCACAAATCTTTTTTTTAAAAAAAAAGTATTCAGGATTGTTTGACAGTCTTCCTAGTAATTGGTGTCACAAACAGCCTTATAAAGATGTAAACACCTTACTAGAAAATGTTCCCCGCCCCCCCATAAGTGACAATAGGGAGGAATACCTAGAATTCCTAAAAACTACGTGTGATATTCAGTGTCAGAAACCACAGGACAAATTCATGATCTTTCTTTTAGTAACTTATTTCTATGCTTGTTATTAGATCAAAGTGCCAGTATATAAATGTGTTGGAAAACTGTAAGGCCTTCTGGCTTACCCAGTTAGCTGCAGTTCTTGGGAATTTCCCATATAACATACTATGTGAAACATCTTTTTTTCAGCGGTAAGAACTAAAATGGTCTACTGCAAAATTGATCAGACCCAGAGAAAAGTGGTTGTCAGGTAAGACACTTTATACTTTGCATTATTTTGTAGAACATTTGAGTTCGTTGTGATTATTTCATGTAAATGTTTAAAGAACTAAGGTGGTGTTGTCAATTGACTGTAGTTAAATAGTTGCTATTTATCATAATTTTATTAAAGTTCAGACTGAATGTGATTAGCTTATTTAATGAAAGAGTCCTATTTTCCAGCACATTTCATTTAATGGCTCAGCATTGGCTAGAATACTAATGACTTTGTGTCTGGTTTATGCAGTTCAGGAAAAAGAAAGGTATAGTATCAATATGGTAAAAGTGAGGTGTGTGTTTTTTTTTTTTTTTAATAAGCTTCTAATTTTTCTCTTACAACTCTTATTTCTGTCCTGTGGGTATGCTTAACCTTACTTTTTAGGTAGGTACAAGTGTGTAGTATTGTAACAAATGCCAGAAAATAAAAGCTTAACTAATTAATGTTTTGTTTTTTAATTTTTCGATTTTTTAGTCATAGCACACATCGGACATTTGGAAAACAGCAGTGGCAACAACTGTATGACACCCTTAATGCCTGGAAACAAAACTTGAACAAAGTGAAAAACAGCCTTTTGAGTCTTTCTGATACCTGATTTTTTTATGCTTAAAATTTTGTTCTTTGTGGCAAACAATCCAAATCTTAGTAAAACATAAGCTGAAATTTCACTACAGTCTGGGCATTTATTGTCTCAATATTAAAAGAAATTACAAAGAGAATACAAAAGTAATAAATTATCAAGGGTCACTATAGCTATGTTGTATTTTAAGTTGTGTTCTGTAAAAAAGCATTTTGAAGGTACAGGAGTTCTGATGAAAGGAGATATGGTGAAGTGCCAGTTCTAAGGGGCGTTGGAGTTTATTTGCAAATATAGACTGTCTTAATTGAGGCATTTGCTGTGCAAAAGGTTAATACTGCAACACACCAGAAATGGCTGGAAAAGTGAGTACAACCCACTGTACAGCTACACATGTAGGTTATTGCTTTTAGTAAACCACAATCAGTTTACACTAAAAACATCTGTCAACATTACTTTAATCTTTTGTTTTTTCCAACATCTCTTCTGCTTTTCTTTTTTTAGGTTGGTTGTCATTTTCTAAACTCAGAAAATTTTCAATTTTGTTGATCTGATTTGTTACCAGGCTCTGCCAGTCATCTTCACCAGTAGAAAGTGCACCCATGTCTGTGCTACCTTTAATCTTGATTGTCTGAAACTGGCTTTGTGACACAGCTGATTTCAGAGTCTTTGTTCTCACCTAGGAAAAAACAAACTTGTTTTACCATTGAAATTTTTACTGACTTTCTGAAGTCTTCAACAAGAGTTTAAACAAGAACTTTAAGCCTCTGCAATTATGTGATAACACCACCACTTTCCTTGCTAGTTTCCAACAACTACCTTAGTTTTGACACCAGCAAATATTAAAGTGTAAATTTGTCGACCTATGTAATGTCTTAAAGATGCCTAATATATTCCAGGAATACCACAAAAGAGGTTTTTGAGCTTATGTTGAAAACAAAGATATTTAAAATATGTAGATAAAATCTGTCTTCTACTCCCTTCCCTTCCCAAACATGTCTATGTTTTGTATCTTCTAGCAAAGCCAGGGGAAAATTTAAAATGTTAACGGAAATAAACTGCCATATATAAAAATTGCCTTTACTTCATGTTTCCTCTCATGCTTCAGAGCACCATTGTTGAAGAAACAGGAAAGAGCAATGAGGTATTTGGAAATTGGCAAATTTCCAAGGCTCTGCATTTGGGACATACTTAAAATACTGTTTTAAAAATTGCAGGTTTTCATGTCAAACATTTTTTAAAATCACAAGTACTGGTAATACAGAAAATGAAGTATAAAGAAATTAAACATTGTTAGTAATCCACTCTCTAGAGCTATGTGGACATTCTGGTATTGTTTAATGCTTTTTTTTTTTTTTTTCCTATTTTTAGCATATCTGATCATTCTATAGGATTTTACATCTTGTTTTTTTCCCTCTCTGAACTGCTGCTTGGTCATTTTCTTGAAAACAATTACCACTGACTTCAAAATAGCCCTTTTCATGGATATGTGATAATTTATCTCCTGTTATTGAACATTTCTACTTATTATCAAAAAAGTTAAAATTTTTGGAAACATTCTTTAATGGTCTTCAGCAAGATAAAATCTCCTGTTTAAAAGGGAATATTATCTTGGAAATAACAGAGTAGGGTAAGAATTATGTTAAAATTACCCCCAACCATATCTGTAAATATAAATATCATTTTCTGTATGATAAGAGCATTTTAAGCATTTCCTTTTATTTTTAAAAGTTAAGAGCATGGCTATATCGTATTTCATGTACCATAATTAGCTGTTGGAGAAATATACTGTTGGAAAATGTTTACTGTTATAAATTAGGCTATAATGAATGTCATTTGTTCATAAATCTGAGGCTCTTTGAATATTGCCTTTTATTAATTTTTTTTCCAATTTGAATGGTAAAAGCATATTTATAACACATTTTCACAGTAGATTGTTGTAATTTCAAATATCAGCTTAAATATTTATATTTCACCTCAGTTCCCTAAAATAGCATAATCCCGTTTATAATGTTCCTTGGTTCTTGAGAATTCTATAGTCAGCCACTAAGTGCCCTCACGGCTCAGCCTCTGATTCTTGGGTTCCTATTTGTCTGACTGCCAGTGTTCTTATGAAATACTGGATATGTAAAAAAAAAAGTACCAACACAGGACCACCAAGAGACTTTAAGCAAGTCATTTAAGGTATGGCCTCAGTTTTTCTTTTCTGCTCATTTTAGTTACAAATTACAAAGTAATACTGTAACGATTACTGGTAATGCATAAAAACATGCATAAATGTGTACTTGTGAAAATATCTTAAAATACAGTATGTTCAACAGACCTCAGCCAAAATATGTCGTTTACCCAGTAAGAACAGATAAGGAGAAATACAGGAAATCTAAATCTAGGTTGCTACTGGTTTTGAAATAAAATGACTAATGATCTATATATGATCTAATCGTCCTGTTTTGCTATCAAAGTGCTTGATGTATTTTGTGTCTGAGTGCAAGTACAGATTATCCAACTTCCAAACTCCTGACTGACTCTTACTTGATAAGGAGGGGGCGAAAAGGAGACATTTACACAGATTTGCTGTCTACTTTAGTTTCTTTCCTGCCTACTTACAGGGGCAGGAACAGGGGTTGACTGTAGAGAGAATTAAGATGCAGTGTAGGTTGAAGTTTGCGCTTAAACCACGTCCTCTTTACTGAGGCTTTGCCAGCCTATGATGCTTATTCAAGATCCGTATGTTGCCAAATTTGTGGGGACAAATCTTTGCTCCTTTCTTTCCTCTGTCCTTTCACTTACCACCTCTTACCTTTTCTTTAGGCCTGACCCGCCACCCCCAGCCTAGTACTACTATTGTTTAAAGATTAAATTAGAGATTTCATTTTAAAATTTACTTCAAATGAACTTTACTCACTGGGTATGTAAAATAAGCGGCTTGCTTTGTTTACTCTGGGCAGCCCTTTTTCCAAGCTTCATTCTTAGACACAGTCAGGATGGGCTACCAACCTGGTGCAGTCTTAAGTTGGACAAGATGAAACCTTTTTAAATCATAGGGAGTAGTAGCTCATAACAACAAGACTGGTATGGAGAATATATAAAAATGTTGGAAATATAATTTCTGGAAGCTGTAAGTTTATGGTTACCATTTTTCGTTTAAAACAAGGACTGACAAACTCTAGAGAGCCAGAAGTAAATATTTTTGGCTTTGTAAACCAGGGGCACCTCTCAGAAACTGCTTAGTTCTATAAATGCTCCCCATATATAAAATAGTTGTGTATTACAGGACTATTACCAAAAGGTATAAGAGAAGCATTAAGAATTAGATACAGGGCCCTCCCTGGTGGCACAGCGGGCTAAAGCAGGGCACAAAGAAGCTTAAGCCACTTAAGCATGAGTTTGATCCCCGCCTGCCCCGGAGGTGACCACATGGTGAGGCAGACCTCTCCTGACCCGCCCGCTACTCCCCTCAGCTACTCCCCTCAGCAGTGTACTTTGTCGATCTGCCTGTTCTGCTCCCTGCTCTGTCTCTGGTGAATCCTCTCACCCTCCGCATCTCTGGCCTGTACCCCAGTTCTGTACAAATAAATAAATAAATCTTTTTTAAAAATTAGATACAAAGACTTCTAGGTTCATTATAAAAATGAACTTAAAAGGGGCATATGAATTTTTCATTTTAATGTTTGAAAATAGTAAATTTTTAAGTGTCAGGTATTCAATGTATTGAAAATGGCTGTCTGCCACTAAGACTCACAAGCTTGCTTTGCATTCTATGACTCAGACTTCCCACTGGCAGGTTCTCTGCATTTTCGCCTTCATTTTTTAAGTGTTTGTGTTTATATAAATACATGAAGTATTTATTGCTGAGCTTGTTTAAAAGGTGAAAAATAGATCTTGACTTTAAAGCTCTCAGGAGAGTTGATGTTTCTTATATTTGAAAAGGAAAATAAGTTCTCAAAAGCAGTATTTTTAAGGCAATAATAGTTTTTTACTATATGTTATAAAGAGGCTTTTTTACTGTGCATCTCTAAAATTTATACAGTGACTTAAAAATCTCATTATGCAGTTACCTTCTTTAGTACTCTTTTCTAATCTTTAGATTTCCTTCTAGCAATTACACCTGTATTAACTTTTTTTAGACCCTGAAGAATATAGCCTTTTTATGCTAAAAGTTTTGAAGACAATAAACCTTACATATTTTACCAAATAACTTGTCATGGACTCCTAGAGCATTTAATCTCTACAAATATATTTTTTAATACATCCTGGCTTGATATCAAGCCACATTATGGATAGTTGTTCCCTTCACACACTGTCTTTGAAATAATTTAAAATAAATAAATTTCCTTCACAATTGTCAGTTTCCAGAAATAATGTAAATTACCTTAAGATGATACAAGACAACTGAGCTTACTAGGTTTTAAGGCATTTTTCATTAAATTTTAAATGGTCAAATGATTCCGAAATTTAGGTATCTAAAAAATAGAAGTACTAATACACTACTTCACACTCTCCCTAAAACAGGCTGGATTATATCTACTTGATTTATACACTGTGACTTTTTCCTGCTGTTTTCTATCAGCCTTAATTGTGAAAAATGGTGCCATGTTGCCCTTGTGATATTATTTTGGAGATCAGTTAGGTCTTAAAGCATCCAGATGCATACAGTTCTACACATATCTGTAGAATTAGCTCACTAAGGTCGGCTCTGCAGTATTTTTAATTGACTTACATGTTCTGTGGGAAAAGAAGAATCATAAAAAGTCTTTGCAATTGCATTCCTCTCGTCACTGGCCTCTCTCTTGGGATCTGGATGCATACTTGAGTTATTCAGAGTGTCAGCAAGTCTGTTAATGCTGGTAGTATCTGGTTGACAAAGAGGAAATGACAACTGAATTTTATTCTCCAGGCCCTTGTTCTAGTGACTGAACCTGTTTTTCTTAGACCCTAAGTCTGTTTATTTTAAAAAGTAATTTCAACTTTCTGTTTACATAAACATATTTGTCATTGAATGATCTCTTATTGCACATTTCATTTCAGAAAATTCTGTTACTGTCTAAAACCTGATTTTACTTTAAAATGAATGAAATTGTGAAAATATCTTCTAAAACAAAATAACTTACATAAAATGCTAACCTTATTCCCTAGGTTACTGCATTGCCCAAACATGCAAGTACTAACAGTGAGCCATCTCAGCACTCGGATTAATGAACCAACTAAAAGATGTATATAAAAGATGTTTAAAGTAATTGGCCATAGTGAAAACCACCACAGAGGATTGCAAAGGTCTGTCTAGTAGAGGTCACTGGGTTTTAAAAAAATAGATGAACATAATTTAGAAATGTCAACTTAGTAAAAAGATACAGTATGTCAGACTTACAAATTGAGTTCCCACAGAATTTTAGACATCTCCCTTCCACCCCTCTGCAATCAAATTAGAAGGGCCTTCTAAGAGACAATGGCCAACTGGACTAGAACCATCTGACAAGGCTAAAATTAATGGACACTATTAATACATTCTACTGGGAAAAGTTAGTTTGCAAAATGAGGTTTTATAGTATTCTGATGTTTTCTGTTTCCCCCTCAATTCTTTTTTTTAAGATTTATTTATTTACTCATATAGAACTGGGGTACAGGCCAGAGATGCGGAGGGTGAGAGGATTCACCAGAGACAGTGGGGAGCAGAACAGGCAGATCGACAAAGTACACTGCTGAGGGGAGCAGTGGGCGGCTCAGGAGAGTGATCGACAAAGTACACTGCTGAGGGGAGCAGTGGGCGGGTCAGGAGAGGTCTGCCTCGCCTTGTGGATCTCCTCTGGGACAGGGGAGGGATTGAACTCTCATGCAGAAGTGGCGTAAGCTTTGTAGTGCAGTGCTTTAACCCACTGCGCCACCAGGGAGGTCCCTCCCCCTCCATTCTTATTCAGCCTACTCAGATTTATTTTGCTATTAAGCCTTTTTTTTCTATTGAAAATTTTCTCATTCCATTTTAAAAGCCTATAATGTCTGAGGGCTATGCAATTTTTCTTGTAATCTACATTTCCTTAATGGGTCTAAATTCATAGAACTGTGATGCATATACTGTTTCAGTAAACAAGAGAGAATATATACAATGAGGAACCTAAATACAGCTTAGGTGAGGTAGGTTATGTCATCAAGTTTCTATGATTACATTGAAATCTGCATAACAATGAAATAAATGACATTTCTGACAACTCTGATAAACCAAATGATTGTTAAACATGCAAAATTGCCTTAAAACTTATAAGAATGTCTTAACCTCACACCTTTGAGATTGTGTTAATTTATGTAGTACCTATATACGTTTAATATATGGTTAAGTTTTTAGAAGAATCTATAAACTACCCATTACCCAGCTTTAACACCCTTCTGCATTAAGTCAGATGATTCATCCATTTATTCTTCTCCACCTTTTTTAAATTCTGGGGTATTTTTTAAGCAAAATGCAGACAGCGTGTATATGATGTAGTGATTTGAAGTATTTTCTGAAATATTTAACATTTGAATGTATTACTATAGGTATATAATTATTAAAGGATTTCAACGGAAAGTTTTCAAATAGTGACATGGCAACAAAGTGTTTATGCTATATGGCAATATAACACAAAACTAAAGAAAGACAGACATAGTGCTGCTCAAGATACAGATAGTAATAGAAAATTTGAGGGAGGAGTGACAACAGAAAGAAACTAAAACATGGTTCTGAGGGAAGGGTTTTTTAAGCGTAAAGAGAAAAGGAATAAACATGCACGTTAGTAGAAGCCTTAACAATGCCACTGTATTTGCTCTAGAAAGTAAAAAAGACTCAGATTAGGTGATGGTTCTTAATTTAGTGACCTAGGACCTGGTGGTTTTTCAGTTCCTTTGATAAATAGAAAATGGTCAATTTCCAAAATGCTTTTGTGCCTCTCTATACATGATTACACTTGCTCATATTTAAGTGAAAAGAAATCCACTTCTGTTTAAATAAAACCTATTTTTACATATCTATATACGAACCATCTTAGATTTAGGCAGAAATATTAATGTAAAGGTTCTCATTTTAAGTACAACCTACATGGAAGCTTTTTACCAAGAATAATAAGTATAAATACAATTATTTAAAAAATCAAAGAATAACTCTTTGTTTTCTTACCTGATCCAATATGCTTGACATCATCCACAACATTAGATTTACAAAGTGTCCCTGAAATAATGTCTGTGTTTTCTGATGAACCTACTGCTCCCTCCTTTAGCAATAAAGGAATGCTAGAAGTTGAAGTGCTCACTGTTTGACTTTCAATTTGATTTACTTTTGACCAAGGACTGGGGTCTAAAAAATTCATATGTATTGGAGTTTTCTCAGTTGTTTTATTTGAAGTTGAAAGATCAAAGGCTGACCTTCCACTTCTGTTTACTAAATCTCCAGATGGCTTTATGTGAAATGAACATGATTCTTCAAGCTGTCCTTCACTGTAAATTTCTCCTGAAGTGTCACTTAGAGATGCTTTTTTCTCTCTATTATTTAACAATGTATGCTGGCTCTCATTAACAAAATGGAAGCAGTCTTTTTTGGTGGCTTTAGTCATCTGATTGTCATCAATCTGACTGTCTTTGTTAGAAAACTGTGATTTTGTGGAAGTTTTTGTGTGAGCAGCAGTTTTCATATCTTTGGTTTGTGAAGCATGTATATTCTCATTGTTAACCTCAAGATAAGAAACACTGTTTTCTAAATATCCCAAGTAGTTCTTACATTGACTGTTTTGCAGATCATTCTGATTTTTCCAAATAGTTCTTTCCTCAGGGCTTGAGTTGTATTTCACCAACACAGACATACTATTAACATCCTTATCTGAATTCTTAAGTGCTTTCAAATTATCACTGAGAGCAGCAGATGAAGTAGAGTGGTTAATTGTATCACAGGGAATAATTTTTTCAGGCTTCTTTGAAGTCTCAATACAGACTTGCTGAAAATCTAAAGTTTGTTTAAATGGCAATATGCCACACTCACTTTTTTTACTTAACTGTTGCATTTTTCTTATTTTACAATGTTTGTCATCTAGCATAAGATTACCTGACTCTTGGAAAGTGTATTTCTGACACTGAACAAGATTGTTTTTCACATCTAGAGATGAATCCAAATCTGCTTTGGCTTCCTCGCTATTTGTTATTTCCTCCTCTGTAGTATTTTCTTGAGTCCCAGTAGGCAATCTCAATTGTTTAAATGGTTCATCTTCGCAAACATTTTTATGATATGAACTGTGATCCATCTTATTTATGATACTGTTAAACGATCTGTTGTTTTCAATTTCTGGATATACATCTGCATGATGATCTAATCCTTCAGTCCTTTCTAGGTGTGTCTTTTCTGTTTCTGTTGATGTATCTGCTATTAAAAAAGAATTGCTTAGAGATTTAAATTCTGTACATGCATTATCTTTTTCCAAGCACATCTTGTCATTGACTTCTGTATTAACTGCTTGACCAAAGTCAGTAGCAGTGAAGATTTGTCCTTTTTCTTTTACTATGCAAAGGGTTTTGCTTAGCAAGATTTCACTTTGATTTTCATTCTGAGTTTCAGAATGAGGTTCATTCTTGGAACTTTTCTTAAAATGCTGCAAATCTGTCATGAGAACAGTAAAATTTTCTATTATAAAAACAAAGTTTGCTTTCTGAAGACAAGTACTGTAACTTATTTCATAAAACCATATTTAGCCTTCAGTATTTCATTGGCCAACTATTACAAAAACATGACACCAACTTTATCTAAATGTTAAGTTCCCTTGATGATAAAAAGCATGTATTTAGCATGTTCATATTGAGATTTGGCTCTACCCATTTTAAAGTTTAATTTCTTAAGAGCAAAAGTATTTTTGGTTTAAAAAAAGGAAAGTTAAGGTTATTAACAAAATGGTTTTTTATTTCTCTTGCTTCTTTGGGGGACACAGTACAATTCCATACACAAATAGCTGATCTAAATACACATTTATCCCAAGTTCTATTCTCTGATTTCTATTACTATATAAATCTACAAATCGGTAGCTATTTCCTTCAAGGCTGATAAGTAAAATATTTTTATTTATGAATATTTTTAAGTGTCTGAATAGTTTTGGGTAAGTGTATAGACTAATCAAGAAATTAATTTTAATTGATCTTGGTTCTAACCAGAGATTTCAAGTTTTCAGCACAGTTAAAAATTCCAAACTACCAAGTTCAAGGCTTTTTTAGCCCAACCATTCTCTCTGCAACATCTCCACCAAGTGGCTGTTCAGCCTAGATCTGACCTTCAAACCTAAGTACCATCTTTTAACAACTTTCTTTCAAGGTGGATAAATTAGTAAATTATCTCAATGATTAGAAAGGGTCATTTGAATTAAGAAATGCTTTCAGTCTGATCATCGGGTTACTGATAACTAAGAGAACATTCTCAGCAAAGCAATGAAGATATAAACCATTCAGAATGCAAAGAGCCAAGGAATAAGTGAGAAAGGCTGGCAGAAATTTATTTTTCTGAAAACACTGACTGTAAGCCCTAAGTCTAAGGAAGACTGTCCTGTCAGGGCCATAAGCAAGTGAAAAGCTAAGTGTTTCCCTATCTACACTACAATGTTCTCAAAGAACAGACTGTAATTGACATTGACCAAAATTCCATAAATGGCCTAGCACAGCTCTTTGGCAGCTCAACATACAAATAAGAAAGTATCAATATACTCTTAGATTACCTTCTACGTTTTGTTCTACAAATAGGTGTTCTTTCTTTTTCTCCTTTTCTCCATTTTCAGTATATGAACAAAAACTCACAGTAGTTTCTTCCTTTATTTCTTGCCCAGAATCATACTTTTCTATCATAGTATTTTCTGATTTTTCCATTGACATTTCACTATTTTCAGTATTTACTACCAGAATATCCTATGTAAAATGGAAAAGACTAATGTAAGAATAGATAGTTTAAAAAGTATAAAACATATGAATAAACTCTGCTGGTAAGTTTCAATTTAGCCATTTAGCAGTTTGTATTTGAAAGTCAAATGATTTGCTTTACTAGATTTAATGTACTACTCTGTAACAAGATCACTTTAGATCATTTTGTAGTGTCACTTAAAAAAAAATGAGACCTTTAGGTGTTTTCAAAATGCAGTTCACGTTACTGTGTAATCTCATATGTTAGAAACACAAAGAGTTTCTGAGATGCTGGTCACACAGGCATCTTTTGCCCAGCATGTGCCAGAACCCCACAGGCAGTTTCAGGAAGATGTTTAGAATAAACCACATTGTATGAAAGTTTAGGAGTAGTAAACCTATCAAAAAATAATGGGATCCTTTTCCCAAGTTCAAGTTTCCAATCATTATAACCCCAGGTAAATAATCCCAAGGGGAGGGTCCAGTTTCCCTTCCCCATCCTAAAAAAGGGTGGAGCTGAGCAGGCAGGAGAAACAAGACAAGACTTGTCTGTGGAAGGAAGGAAAGGAAGGACAGGTGTCAAGAAGACCTGGAGGAGGCACATGGAGTGGGAAGACATGTGAGAAAGCTGCACTTGCTTCTTGGCCTTGAATTTATACCAGGAACTGGGGGACATGGAAGGAGACACAAAACAGACATGGGTGAAAGGACTGGTAGATTAACAACAGCATGATTTTGATTTTGATTTTTTCCTTACAGACTTGTCTGGCCCCTTCTGCCACCTCCTAATGAGTCCCCACCAGAAGGTGCCTTAGACTTGTGGGAAGGTTTGGGTCTTAGTAGTCCTGCTGTGAGCCAACTCTACTTGGCTAGGCATTTACCCACAAGGTGATGGGTAACTGGGCTTTCATGGGGAAACTACTGTAACTAAATTTGTTCTCTTTATTGCACACTAATTGTATTAAAGTTCCTTTCCACTGAAGGCCTTATACTGTAGCTTATGTTTTGTCTTCATGTGGCAGAATTTATTTAGAGCAGGCAGATTTGGGGGTGCCATGGTGCCCCCCACCATGCCTTGTAACATTAGGGCTAATCTTACAAGCAGGCCTTTCTAAGGATAGCATCCACAGAATTGTTAACTATTTTCTACACATTTGTATACAAAGAAAGAGAATCTGAAGAGCCCTAATTAAAAAAAAAATTAAATATTGAATTCATTATTGAAAGTATTCCCACAAAGAAAAAGCTCAGATGATGATTCTCTGAAAAACTCTAATATTTAGGAATGAACTAATACTGATTATACAGATTAGTTTTTAAGGAGGGAACTCATTCCAACTCAGTTTATGAAACCAGTATTACTCTGAAAAGAAAATCAAACTGAAAGAATACAAAGAAAAAGTAAAAAGACAAAAACCCACAGACTATATTCCTCACCAGTGTCAAACCCTCAACTCAGCATTAGGAAATCAAGTCCATCCAGATATAAAAAGGATAACACATATCCCAGAACACAATGTTATTTTAATCTCAAATTCAATTAATTGATTAATAGTAACTTTTATAAAAAAGAAAAAATATGATCTCCTTAGATACAAAAAAGCATTTGTCAAAATTTAACACCCAGTCATGATAAAAACCCATTCAAAAGAATAGAAGGAAACTTTCTCAACCTGATAAAGAACATAAAAAAAAATCTATAACTACATGATGATGAAAGGCAAAAGACTAAACATTCTCCATTTTAGATGAAAGATAGGGTAAGCATGTTCACTCATAACTTTTTATTCAACTCTGTACGAGAGGGCCTATTTAGTACAGTAAGTTGAAGATATAGTAAATTTTACAGAGCAAAAAGAAATCTGTCTTAAATTCACAGACAATATGATTAAATACTTAGAAAACCTTGTTTGACCAAAAAAAAAAACCTACTGTAGCAAGTTAATTTTAAAAGAATAGAACACAAGCTCAATGTACAAAAATCTGTTTTCATACTAGCAAGGAGCAATTTGAAAAAATTTTAATATTTTAATTTTTAAATACTATTTATAAATAGGATTCCAAAACATGAAATATTCAGAGATAAATTCAACAAAATATTTGCAAGACCTGTACAATGAAAAACAAAATATTTCTGAGAAATACTAAAGACAGACCACATACATAAATTGGAGGACTCAATCTTGTTACTAAGAAATTATTTATTTACATGTTAATTGCTAGATTCAAAGCAATCCAAATCAAAATTCTGAACTTCCTTTCTGAAAACTGACAAGCTGATTCTTAGTTATATGGAAAGCAAAGGACTTAGAATAGCCCAAACAACTTTGAAAAAAACAAAAAAATTGAAGAACTTCTATCAATTTTAAGATTAATTAGTGTAGAAAGCTGCACTAGTACAGACAATGTACTGGCTTATAGACAGACACATAATCAGTAGAACATAATAAAGAGTTCATGTATAGTTCTGCATCCTTCTGATTAACTAGATTTTCAACGATGCTATCATAGTACAATAGGAGGAAAAAATGGTTTTCCTAACAAAATGTGTGAGATAAAACAAAACTAGATTCTATGCTTATGTTCTTTTTTTTTAAGTTGAGAAACTAAAATAAAGCAGAGGGAAAACCATCAATTTAACTTTATATAAACATGCTTGAATTTTACCTGAAATTTCTTGTCTTCCTCAAACTTCTGATTACGTAACTCATTGTAATGTTCTTGTAATTTAATATGAGTTTCTTTAAGTGATGAAAATTCATTTTTAATCTTATTGATTTCTCTACTAAGTTCTTCAACCTAATAAAAAATGTAACCAAAATGAGCAGGTATATGAAAGTTAAGTCAAGATGTTGTGATCTTAACCATTACATTATACCATCTCTTGTTACAAATGAAAAATTATTTTTAATCATATGATTTCTATAAAGACTATACAATGATTGCTATCTTAAAGTTATATTTTTATTACAATAATATACAAATTTAACTCAACTAGATGAAGAGTACTAAACACTAAGTAGTACATTTGAAAATGCCACATCAGCCTAATATTTACATCTATAAACTGGGTTTCCACTGGCTATAAAATTGAAGTTTTTCTTGAGGGTAACAATTTTTCATGGTAAGCTCAAATATGAGATAGTTCCATTGTGGAGGAAAAAAATTTTCATTGTCATGAAAGATTTTTCTTTAACAATCTAAAAACTACCCCAATGCATGTCACTTTCCTTATAGAGGCTGATATGAGCTTGTTTACAACTCTGCCTTTATCTGTTTTTTTTTCCAATGGTACTGTCTTTTTATTGAGGTAACGCTGTTTTGCAACACTATATGACTGAGGCATAGGTACACACCTCTTCAGATGTATGTTTATAAGCATTGTTTTCTCTCTCTCTGTCAGGTATCTCTTTTCTAACAGTCTACTCCCCACATGTTCTGTTTCAGCATCCCTTACCTCCCTTAGTTTCTATCTAAGCACAGTTCTTTTCTCTTCTGCTATTCTCCATCTTTCCCACTATACCTACATTTGCCCACACATAATCTCTTCTCTCAATCCTTGAACTATTTACTCTGACTCTCACCTGTTAAAATTAAGTTCACACTTTAAAATCTAACTTTCTGCCACTCCTTAACAACTCTAGCCTCATTGTTCTGAATTTTTCCTCAGGTATGACTTGTAAATTAACAAAAGAATTTTTTTTTCCTAGTTTTCATACCATGTAATAGCTCATAGCATGACCATGTGACTTTTTGTTGTTGAAACAGTCTCTTTGCTTTCACAATACTATCTTTTCTCACTGTTACCAGATTCTCCTTCCTCTCCTGCCCCAACACACACACACACAGAGTAACCACTCACAAGATGTTGGCAATACCCAAGATTCTTTCTCCTCTAATTCCTGTTCAAGTACTCCAGTCCTTTCATAATCTTATTCCTAAAATCTTCAAATTTCATTTTTATGCTAATAAATTTTAAATCTATTTATCATTTCCCTACATTTCTTCCAAGATTTAGATTCAAATTATTTCCAAATTCATGATAGGCATTTCAAACTAGATGTCCTTCAGGCACCATAAATTCAGCTGTTCTCAAATTAATTCATTATTTTCATCCACCAAATCTGCTTCTCCTCTGATTCCCTATCTCACTTAATTACATTATCATACTGCTAGTTATAGTAACTTTTGAGTTATATTTCACTCTACTCTCTTAATATTCATTAGATATAAAATGTCATTAACCCTGCCAATTCTACTTCCAAAATGCTTCCAGCTTCTCTCCCTCTTCTCTGATCTTATTACTGTTGTCCTAATTCAGATACTCAGAGGATCATTGTTGGGTTATTTACAATATTCTTTTCATTGGTCTTTTTCCAGAGTCATTCTCTATACTGTTGCAAAAGCTTTTTTTTTTTATTCATACATAAAGAACTGGGGTACAGGCCAGAGGTGCAGGGGTGGTGAGAGGATTCACCAGAGACAAAGTGGGGAGTAGATCAGGCAGACTGACAAAGTACACTGCTGAGGGGAGCAATGGGTGGGAAAGGAGAGGTCTGCTATACCATATGGGTCACCTCTGGGGCTGGGGGTGAAATTTGCATTTAAGTGGCTGCAGCAGCTTGCAGTACTGCGTCATAACCCCTTAAAGCCACCAGGGAGGGACCAAAAAAGCTTTTTTTTTTTTTTAATGCAGATCTATGTTAAAATTCTTATAAAATAAAATACAATTTCCTTAGTAAGGAACCTTTCAGAAAGTAGTCTCTATCTATTTTCCAGTGTCACATTCTACCTAACTTGTGCTTCATTCAGAACAGGCTATTCAACACCTTGAACATGCAATGTCATGGCTCCATTTTTTCCATTCTTTCTTTTTACAAATTTATTTATTTATGCATACAGAACTGGGGTACAGGCCAGAAGTGCAGGGGCGGTGAGAGGATTTACCAGTTACAATGTAGGGAGCAGAACAGGCAGACTGACAAAGTACACTGCTGAGGGGAGCAGCAGGTAAGTCAGGAACGGTCTGCTTTGCCATATGGGTCAGCTCCCTGGTCGGAAATCAAACTTGTGATAAAATGGGTACAGCCCGCAGCTAGCTTCATAGTGCTGCACTATAACCTACTGCACCACCAGGGAGGAGTCCCTCCCATTCTTAAGTGAAATGCTAACAGGATGTAATGGGTAGTATAGGAAATGAGCCCTTATTGCCTGATGAAAACCTATTCATCTTCCAAGCCAAACTCATGTCTTTTTTTCTGAAACTTTTCTCCAACCTAACTAAATAAATTGATTTATTTTGGTTTCACATACAAATCTGTTAATATTCCACACTAATTTCATGATTGCTTATTCCTTTGAGCGTGAATTGTTCATTAACCTTTATATTTTATGCATTTTTGATAAGCTAATGCCTAGGATAGTGCCTAACATATTACAGATTGCTCAATAAATGTTGTAATATTTTTTGACCTTCCCTTTCCTAAATAATTTCTAGAAATCCCCACTTATTGTGGCTTTTTTCTTTTCTTTTTCTTTTTTTCTTTTTGTCTATATGTACTTATTGGCTATGTAGCTAGCCAAATCCAAACAAATACATTGGTCTTTATATTTTTTCAGTGAATTTTACATGTGGTTTAATATTTGCTGTTTTGCTTCTACAGTAGTTTTACTCTGTTACAAAGAGCAGTTTGTATTATTCCATTTATTTTTGTCAGTTTTTATACCATACTTTACTATACATGCTATACTTCTTTATACTTGTCCTTTACTCAACAATGGTGAAAAATTTAGATAGAAATACAATGAAATAGTAAATCTGATTGCCATTCAAAAAAAAACATGTAATTAAAACATCTCATCTCATTTAATTATTTCTAAAGCATATGGAAATTAAATGATTGTGGAAACTAAAATTCCTAAGACAAAGCTAGTTCCATCCAAATTTATATAGGAAGGCTCCATCAATAAAACTGAATCTTATTTTTCATAATTCAATCGATGTTTTTCTTAGGAGATGTGTATGGTTGTTATCTCATGAGGAAAAACACAAGTTTAACCTTCTTTGCTTAAAAAAATCTATTCTTTAAGAATTCTGGGCCCTCCCTAGTGGCACAGTGGGGTGGAGCGCTGCACTGCGAAGATAAGCTGAGCCGACGAGGCTGCAGCAAGTTCAATTCCAGCCCCAGAGATGATCCACATGGCCCGGCAAACCTCTCCTGCTCACCTGCTGCTCCCCTCAGCAATGTATTTTGTTGGCCTGCCTGTTGGGCTCCCCACTCTATCTCTGGTGAATGCTCTCACCACCCCTGCAGCTCTGGCTGTACTCCATTTCTGTATGAATAAATAAATAAATAAATCTTTAAATAAATAAAGACTCCCCTGGCAAACAACACTGATTGGAAGTGTTCATGGCAGTAAAGCTACACAGACAACTTTAAAAAAAAAAAATCTATTCCTTTTGGTATGATTCATATAACTAAGTTTGTAATTTCTTTTCACTTGATAGTTTTCTTTATTCTGATAATACCAGTTCTGTAATGTTTTAAACTAAGGAATGAAAAAGAAGTGTTGGAGAATAATGGATCCCACTGATTAGCTGAACCTAAAATAAGTACTACTATACTTGCTGATTAATGATAAACTCTTAGTAGTGAAATAAGAATTTTTTAATATTCTGATATATTTAGTTACAAAAATTTTCACAAAATTGGGTAAAGCTTATCAAAATTACTAGTCTAAAAATTACAAAGAGGACATAAGAGGCCATATTAGCTACAAATTAATTTTAAAATGAAGGCATTTAAGTTTATATCAAACAAAACCCAGGTAATACTGTCATGCTGGTATTTGAATAATATAAAATATATTTGTATATTATTAGGATAATATAATTAGTAATAGTTTAAAACATTACCTTTCTCAAAATATAGCTTACACAAACTCAGTGAATTTCTATAGTGTTAATTCTCTTAACATAATTAAAAGACAGTGAAAATATATATTAGAATAGAATAATCAATTTAAATAAACCTCATACTTCACAATTTTAAATAAACCTCATGTTTCACAATTTTACCTACATTGAGATTAAAATGCAGTGTAAAATAAGTAGGTGCAGTTTAAGGAAAAAGCCATGTTTCTAATATTAATTCTTAAAATACAAGCATATAGAGCTCAATCACAATGTATATGTCTAAATAAGCAGTACTACACCTCAAAAGACTGCTGAAAAAGTTAAATAGATGAGCTAACAATGATAGCACCTATATAATTTTTTACTTCTGTCATTTACTAAATACACTGCAATTATTATATGAAAAAATTAACTTCTGTCACAGTCATTCAAACTATATATATAGACAGACACAAACACATTCATTTACGTGTACATAAATAACTATATATATAAATACACGTACACATTGTATATGTGTGGTTTTTCATGCAGGAAAGCATTAGTGAAAATATCATTAAATTAGCTTTTAGAAAGCATTCACTTTTTTGGAAATATAAAAGAAGCAAATGTGTCTGACTTTATTCCCAAATTATTTTGCAATATTTTCTTAGCATTTGTTATTTTAAATGTTGTCAACTATTTAAAATATTTTAATAGTTTACTATTTAATAAACCTACTTCCTTTTTCCAAGTTCCCAATGCTTTCTCATGCTCATTTTGAAGATTAAGGAACTTTTCTTCATTTTCTTTTACCTTCTCCCTTTGCAGCTCATTATCTCTTTCAAGGGTCTGCAATAAAATTAATTATCCAAAAAATAATCAATACCACATTAATGAATTTTGATGTGTTTTATGTTGCTTGGACCTTTGCTTCTAACATGCTGAAAGTGCCATACAGATCAGTGATAATGTGCTATCTCAACAATAATTTTCATAAATTAACAGAAAGGTGCTTATAGTTTAGTTAACAGGAAATAGGGGGAGGTTATGAAAAAGAAATGGCTATAAAAGGGTATAAAAACATTGCCATTATTCAGTTTCACTGCATAAGTTTTAATGTACTGAAAAAGTAATATAAAGTACAGCACTGAGAAATATGAAATGTAGCATAATCCAGCCAAACCCTACTAAAAATTTTTAACTATCACAATTATTTTTGGTAACTCACTTTATTTTAGAAACTCGCTGGCTAAAAACACCTTAAATATAATTTTAAATTCAGAATAATGCTAGAATTTTAATATTAAACATATTACCTTATTCATAAAATAATATAAAATTTTACCTACATGCCTAAAACACCTGGAATTTTTAATTCAGGTGTTTATCACCATTAAAGCTATGTAATTCAGAGTAACAGTTTAATCCACAAGGATACAGAAAGAAAGGTAAAGTGTGAATCTATTGGTTAAGCAGTTCTCCCCAGAAGTAACCACTGTAGCAGTTTCCTGTATATCTTTCCAGAAACAGTGTAGAAGCATGAATATATGAAACAGTTATTAAAAATACAAAAGGCAATCTGCCTTTTTTGAAAAAAATTGTCTTATTTTCCACATCATTATATATAAATCTACATCATTTAAAGGTTTCAGGTATCCCATTCATTTAATGAGCTCTCAGTTATGTCTAGAATATCAATGTGCAAAGACATAATTATGCAAAATGATATGAACATTAATAAAAATACTCAGGATAATGTAAATTTTTTTATAAAAGTCATAGATGCTCCTTAATTTTAAAAACACACAGTAGAGCAGTTTCTAAATATTTACAATGGCTGATAATCAATGGATACTTAGTACTTAATTGCTAACTCTTTTTTTTATAGTATGTGTATGTAATAACACTATTTTAGAGGATACACAAATCAAAGTTTAGAAGAGCTATGGGTCAGTCTACCACAAGCTGTATACTGATAATAATAAATAAGAGCTCTATGTTCTTAAAAGTGTATTGGATATTTCAATTCCTTCCTATTTCTACTCATACTCTTATCTAGAAGAAATTGTGTATATCAGGTATCCTCTCAGTTTCTGCTTTTTGGAGACATCCCATCCTTGCATTTCAATTTGAACCTATTGCTCTTTCACTCTGCTATAAGGTCAGATTATCTCTGGATTTCCTTCTTCCTTGGTGGGTCTCTTTCCGAGATCTCATGGTTTCCTCTTTCCTAATTGATCTCTATTTACTGGTAAAGCAAACTTTCTATTAATTCTTGATAAAGAAGGCACAGATGATACATTTTTGAGACACTGCATATCTGAAAAAAATCTTTATTTTACAAATACTTAACAATTTGTTTGGCAGAATACAATTCAACTCATCAGCTCTGGAAGTTAGTTTTCCCCAACTTGTGAAAGGATAGTTCTGCTTCTTCCACCTTCCATGTTGCCGGCAAGAATTCTGAAACCAATTCTTACTCTTAATCTTTCGTATGTGACCTGTATCTTTCTTTTTTTATAGATAATTTTAGGAACTTCTTTTTAAGAGTAGTATGGAATTTTATAATGATACACATTTGTGTTAGGCAAAGCAAACTCAAATCCTTTAGTTCTGGTTCATTTTTTTTTGTATTATTTCATTTGATCATTTCCCCTTCTTCCATTTTCTTTGTTCTCTATGGAACTCATCTCATCTCTTGGGCTCACCCTCTAATTTTTTTCTCCTATTTCATATATTCTTGTCTTTTGGTTCTAATTTCTAGAAGACTATCTTAACCTTTCTGTGTATTTTTATAGGGGCTTATATATTCATTTTTAAGAATACATTTTAAGGATTCTTTTATTCTATCCATGTTTCTTTTCTTATAGATCCTAGTCTCTGTTTTGTGGTATTAAGAAATGTATTTTCTCTTTTATTTTCATAGTTTATCCAAGATTTTTCACTACCCCATTTGCCTGTTTTTCATGTTGGATGTGTTCTTCAAATGTCCAGTGATCCTTAGCTGCCTATTTATATTTGAGCATAAAGTAGTAAAAAGCTGATGATAGTTTGTCAATAGTGGGCATCACTGTAGGTTGATAGTTATTTCATTGGGAATCTTAGTGCTGTGCTTTAACTTGCTGCGCCACCAGGGAGGGCCCGGAAATCTTAACTTTAATAGCATACTGTTTTTTCTTGAGCAGGTTAGTTCCTCCAGAAAAGAACCTTATATTCTCCTACCTCAAGGCTAATCACCCTTTAAATATGGAAAGTAGACTAGTACATCTCAGAATTCAGTAGTGGAAGTTCCATTAGTTTTTAATGTAATCCTCTTCTTATGTGCTGGTGAACTGGCTCTCAAGAAAATAATAAGCCTGATTTACAGCATTTACCAATACCTTGAGTTAAATATTACCACATGCTCAATTTGAAGCTATCACTGGTTTACCAACCAGCTCCCAAAATGATAATTACTCCACTAATCAGCTCTCTCTGGTACAAACTGTCTCCAGGACACCATTGCATCTCCCCAACCTCAATGTTCTCTTAAACTCCACAACATAAACCTTCAGTCTTTTGTCAGGTAGGTGACAAGCAGCACTGATGTGCAGGGCAGGAAAAAAATAGTTTGGTGATGCAATAACTTTTTATATATAGACTTCTAGTTTGGGGTTTCAGTTGTGTACCATACTTCTACAGGAACATGATTCTTGTAATTCTTGACCATTTCTGCATCTTTGACCTGGGTTTCTACTTTCTCTCATGTGTCAATGAGTAAAATACTAATTTTCCATTTGGTTCTCACTCTTAAAACATTATTTTTATTGTCTTTTCATTCTAGTTTTTTTGTCCCTGTAGATTTATTAATGGCTTTTTATTGCAGTTTAAGAAGTAGATAGGAGGGACTGTGTAGGTTCAATTGAATATGTTTAACTTGATGCCCTTAACCGAGCATTATCTATACTTGGAAAGAGTGAATTTACAGTTAATCACTCATTAATTTTGTGCCAGATACTTTCTTAGGCTTTTATGCTTCATTAGTGAAAACATAACTATTTTCATTTTTATAGAATTTGTACCCTTTCAGGAAATTATCTGTTATGATTTGCATCTACATTAACAAGTACAAAAATTGCCTCTGGAAAAAAGGTTATTGTGGAAAGCCAAAATAAAACTGTTACTGCTTTAATATCTAAAAACTAAGTAAATTATTCTAGCTCGTGCTATGAATTATAGGAGTAAACTAAATAATCTTGTTAACCTGTGACTACACAGCAGCATAATTATACTTATAACTAGAACAAACTATAATTAAATCAAAGTAGAATGTAGTCTCTCTCATAAGGTTTCTATGCTCTTATTGTACTATTAAAAAAATAAGCCTTATGACAGCATGATTGTAAAGCACTGAAAAACAGTGGCTATTATGAAGAGTAATGGTCCCTTTTAGTACAGGTGGAATTAGAATGCTCCTCAAGAAAACACTTAACGTATCTATGCAGGATAGTCCTCAGCAGCAGCTCAACAGTAATATTTTGTTATACTATATATCAGTGGTTCTCTAACACCAGTCTGCAAGCAAGTACTGATCCGTGACAAAATCTCACTAGTCTATGGCAAAAAATGTCAATATAAGGTCATCAAATCCCTTTTATTGTGAAGGACTGTCCTTTATCCTGAGATTATATACTTAATATACTTTTGGTGTTAAAATGTTTGCTCATAAAATGCAAGTAATGATAGATGGTATTGTTTATTTTTAATGTCCTTACTTATCAAAATAAGAAGCTGGTAATTCTATCCTTGTAAATACTTTGGTATTTACTATATGAAATTTAGTTTTCCTATGGAATATCAAGACTCAGTTAATAATTGTGCTATAGACAGGCTTTTGGATTACCTAAGATATTGGCAATTACAGCTAAAAGATCCTGGAAACATAGTAAGTCATCATTATCTGAAAGAATAGAGCAAAAGTGGCAGTTCTCGCAGATCTAGGAAAAATACCTTAATAGTGCTGGAGTAGATTCTAGACAAAGATTTAATTCTTGTTTTCCCACTAATTTTAAGGCCTTGTACACTGCTTACACTCTCTGGATTTCTGTTTGATCATAAATGAAATTATTGGGCTATTTAATCTCTAATTTGTTCATCCTACAACCATGTCTAGCAACTCCTTTCAATGTATAAGGAAACAATCCTGGTAACTGCTTCTCATTTTGGAAAATGAAAAGTCGCTTGAGAGACATAGTTCCAGTTACCTCATAAGAGACTATCTGGGAGGTAGAGATAGTTGCTCATAACTAGACTTTCAGAGATATTTTATTAGTCTTTTATTTGAGCAGGTGAAGCAGTTAAGGGGAAAGAAAGGTTTGTCTCTAACATACCTCTTCCCTCTCCCTCTTCTAACTCAAAAAGTATTGCATCAGGCAAGAGAAATAATGAAGACAAAATTTTCTTTACATGTCTAGTCATAGAAAATCAATGGTGAGAAGATAAATCTTGAATTATTCAAGTTAAAATTGGTTCCATTCAGCCCTCCTTGGTGGCGCAACGGGTTAAAGCACAGCACTGAGAATCTAAAGCCGCTTCCGCATGAGTTCAATTCCCGCCTGCCCCGGAGGTGACCACATGGCGTGGCAGACCTCTCCTGACCCTCCCACTGCTCCCCTCAGCAGTGTACTTCGTCGATCTGCCTGTTCTGCTCCCCACTCTGTCTCTGGTGAAGCCTCTCGCCGCCCCTGAGCCTCTGGCCTGTACCCCAGTTCTGTATGCACAAATAAATAAATCTTTAAAAAAAAAAATTGGTTCCATTCAGTGACAATGGATGTAGTGTAATTTGTCCAGCCTGATGCAAAATGAAAACAAATATGACCATTGAAGATTATTTTGTGGTTCCTTCTTCCCTCCTACCCTTTCTCTTTCTCCATTTCAACCTCTTATGACAGTTTTTCATTTTATTTATAATGTCATGTTCTGTGGACAGGGTGCTACTCACAGGGAAAATACAAATCCTCACAGCTACCTAAGGGACCTTACCATGCAACTAAACACAAGCAAAATCCACCAGCTAATGGGTTCCTACTGCTGCTGGACCCGTACGCTATGTTCATGGCAGATAAGTAACTTCAAGGGATTGCAACTGACAGGAAGGGATCACCTCAATACATGGGTTGGGGACTGACTCCTGCCAAGTCATTTATCTCATGTATCAAGGCATTACTAACTTGGAGCAGGGAATACTGCAGGGCACGTGAACTCAGCCCATAAAATCCCTGCAACATCTAGGGCCTTCACCAAGGGTGAAACACAATAGCAGAACACAGGCCTCTTTCCACTAATGTGACCCAACTGACCAAAAGCAGTGATGAAAGAGCAGGAAGCTTGAGGTTAGACAGGGCCCTGGTCACCACAAGGTGGAAAAATTGGTTCTGGACAAGAGAATGAATGAGCTGAGGGTCCAGCGCTCAGTGTACACTCCATTTTCCCACCAAACTTAATAAAAAACAATCTCAAAGATAAAAAATAATAAGTTAAAAAAATTACCATAGAACTTTAAACCTGAATCATAAGACCTTTCTTAATATGGGTCCCAATCAAATACAAATGTTACATACCCATGAAGCTGTCCCTGGCCCCTGCTGACATTGATTTTTACATGATAGGTTAGAGTGGTTTCTTGGGAATAATCCAGCTTTATCTTTTATAAAGAGGAGCACAAACATCTTCAACTGGCCACAACAGGAGAACATGCCCTCAGTTCTTTCTCTGAGTTGAACATTCTATCACTTGGCTCAGTAACACACAGGACAGTTCCTGTCTTTCCACTAACTTCTAGGTTTCTTCATGTGGAGCCAAGGAACCATAAAGGTTCTTTATTTTGCACCCTTCCAGGGTCATGTAGTACTAGATCAAGAATATATACTTTAAGTCCCTTTACTCCAAAAATTGCTCCTTTAAGTTTCACTCTAGGTATTACTCTCAGACTTTAGACAAGAATTTGCCAAATTCTTACACAGGAATTTTGTCACCTCAAACTCTACTAGCAAAAACAGAGTGAACCTTCAGGTTTCTACAGTATCTCAAGCATTCTTCTAAGAAACAAGATGTCACTCTCCCTTTCTTGTAACTCAGTCTACTTACAAATTATTTTCCTGTAGACTCCTTCACATAACTTCCTAGAAGGAAATGTAACCTCCTCAGTTAAGGTTCTCTCTTTTAAGCCTTCATTCCCAAAGCATCAATGACCTTAACCTCTCCTCCCCAATCATTAAGGATTGATTGGAAAGACAGTGAGATGACTGTTGTGATAACAGAACCACTTCTGTCATATTCCTTTTATACGTATCCCTTGATCTGCCCGCAATTCTGGAACTCGTAGATTACTCTTAAAAAGTAGTGACACATGTCACTTTTTACTTTCAGTTCTGGGTCTTGCCTAAAATTCTAAAACTATGGTACAAATCCTATTCAATTCATTATAAAATGAAACTGGACGATAAAGTTGAATATTTAACTAGTAATTCACTGATTAAAAGTATGTTCATTACTGTAGACACTGATACACAGTTAACAAAGAAGACAAATAGTGTTCCTAAAATTCAAAATCATCTCAAAGTTATACAGATGAATGTAACTAAATAGGAAAGATTCATTAGAGGAAAATTACTAAAAAAGGTTCAAAATAATACATATATATTTAGTACTAACAGATAAAGTCTTTTAGGAGTATCTATATGCATGGTATATGTCAAATAACCTGGTTATTTTCTTTTAGCACCTTCAGTTCTGCTTCTATTTCAGTATTTGCTTGAGTCTGCTGCTGAAGTAACTGCTGCATGTTTTGAAAAGAAATGATGATATCCTTTAAACAAGAAAAAGTATATCAATTGAAAAAAATTAAGGCAGATTTGTCTAAACTCATTTTTAAAACAGTTTTCCTTGTTTTTTATTATTTTTATAGCTTAGTTTCAACAATATAAGAAGCAATATACTAACAGTACAGTTTACTAACTTAATATCTAAAAACATTATGTGATTTCTTACAAAGTACTATTTTCAAGGGTTCCTGAAATAATTAACAATGTTTGAAATGGACCTTGCATTCTGAGACACTATTGAAAATGTAAAGAATTCAAAACTAAATCTTGTGTTGGTTTTCTCCCTAGGGAGTAAAAATTTCACTACTAAAAATGATATATTTCTAAATGGGCTAGGATGTTGTAACATACATTCAAAATAAAATGTATTGAAAAGCAGAGAAGAAAAATTGGAAGAATTTTCTTCCACTTTTTGTAAACAGAAGAAATGTAAATATCAAACAGATTGAAACAGAAGTACAATATCCTATAAAAACATACCCTAACCATACATACGTTTCAAGAATTATCTGTTAGGATACCACTGGTTAAAATATCAAAGAAAAAACTGATAGCTAATTTAATTTTTATTCTATTTAATTTTAAAATACTTTAATATTTTTCCAGCTGATATATGACTGACACATGGCTGATAATATATGACTGATGATTTAATAGATCTATATATTACAAAATGATTGCTACAATAACGTCAGTTAAAATGTCCCATAATTTCACATAATTATACCACTATTTTATATGTGGTAAGAACATTTAAGATTGGGCCTCCCTGGTGGTACAGGGGTTAAAGTCTCAGGGAAATCAAGTTATTGCCAGCTACTGAGGCATGAGTTCCATCCCCAACCAGGGAGCTAGCCCACATGGCTCAGCACACCGCTCCTGTCTTGCCTACTGCTCTTCTCAGCAGGGTATTTCAGTGGTTCCACCTGTTCTGTTCCACAGTCTGTCTTTCTGGTGAATCTTCTCACCAATGCCCCCTGCCCTGCACCTCTGACCTACACCCCAGTTCTTGTATGCATAAATAAATAAAATCTTTTTTTAAAAAAAAGGCATTTAGTGCCTAAAAGTAGATGACTGGATTACAAAGATGTTGTACATACAGGAAATGGAATATTACTCAGCAATCAAAAAAGATAAATGCATGCCTTTTGCAGCAACATGGTTAGAGCTGGAAGGGATCATGCTTGGGTGAAATAAGCCAGAAAAAGAAAATTAAAATACTAGGTGGTTTCACTCATAGCAGGAGCATAAAGGACAGAGGAGGAAAATAATAATAATGGGCAACTATATACCAGAGACATTTTACCAGGTGGAGTGGGGAATGGAATCAAAAATGGAGCGGGGGGGAAGTGCACAGGACTATGGTGATGGCACACAGGTGATTTGGTGATGGGAAGCCCATGGGGGTTACAACTGAGATGGAAAAAGGCACAAAATGATGTAAAAATAAACCATTACAATAATAACTAAAAAAAAGGGCATTTAGGATGCACTCCCTTAGCAACTTTCAAATATACAATCCAGCAATGTTCACTAAAATCCTCATGCCGTACATAAGATTTTCAGAACTTGCAACTGGAAGCTTGTACTTTTTGACTAACATCATCCCAATTCTCCTCTGATTGATTTTTTAATGGTAGTATATGTGAGACATGGTTAAAAAGATATATAGGAATTCATTCAATACACGCTGAATGCTAGGGCATTCACCTAGGATGATTCTATTTGTTATTTAACCTAATATGTTTCTTTCCCATACTGTATCTGGTTTTGAATTTTTTTTGTAGAGTATATATTTTTTAAGATTTTTATTTATTTATTCATACAGAACTGGGGTACAGGCCAGAGATGTGGAGGGTGAGAAGATTCACCAGAGACAGAGTGAGAAGCAGAACAGGCAGATGGACAAAGTACACCGCTGAGGGGAGCAGCGGGCCGGTCAGGAGAGGTCTGCCACATCATGTGGTCACCTCCGGGGCAGGCGGGGATTGAACTCATGAGGAAGTGGCTTAAGCTTCTTAGTGCAGTGCTTTAACCCACTGTGCCACCAGGGAGGGCCTTGAAATTTTTTTTTTTAAATTTTAAAAGCTGGTTCTTAAAATTTTTACTAGTTGCCAAAATCTTTAAGAGTGCTTGCCTGCTTTTCTTCTTGAATACTAGTCATTTCTTCATTAATCTTCTTATTTAATTCCAGTTCCTTAAAAATATATAAAGTTTTAAAATTATAATATAAAAATCTGGCAAATTCTATATTCCATTCAGTGGGCAAGACATTTGTGCATATCCTGACCTATTACTACTATACAGTAGTAAAACATTGTTGCTGAAACAGTAACTCTGGTGAACTGAGAAGGTATTATATACATAATACAGGTTGGTGCAAATATTTTTATGTTAATGATAAAAACTAGAAAATTTCTCATCTCAAAAGTATTTCTGGAGGCACTACTATAACATTATTACAGTGGAAATAAGCCTGAAACATTATTACAGTGGAAATAAAATGGCTATCGCCAAAATTATAATATTATAAAGTCTTAGTCATAATGGCAAAAACATCTAATATTTTTTACTTACATATTTTACCGTGGATTAATTTTACAAGAATCTGTTTTATATCAGGATTATCTTAATCCTGAAAGTCTAATAGATATTTTAAAATATTAATTTAATAAACAGCAGAATTTAATTATATACCATATTGAGTCTTTCTTGAAGTTCTTTGAATTTTTGCTCTTTAATTGTTAAGTTGATATTTTCTTCTCCCATCTTATGCTGATACGTGACCTTGAACTTTATCAAGTCTGAGGTTACTTTTTTTAGTTCCTTAACATAAAGAAATCAAACAGTAATATAGTATACATATTTCATCAAAGTAAGATCGGTTTCTAACAGTTTTAAAGTCTATTTTTGAAACTATCGCTGTAATTTACTGTTTTTCATATATCAAGGTAAAAGTATCAGGTAGTTTCACTGATCAAAATCTATCTTCCCCTACCTCCATTTACAAGATAATTAGCCAAGGCAGGAATGCTATCTGTGACTGTGAAACAGGCAAAGACAGAGAAAAGATTAACAGAATGCATGATCTTAACTCTTAAAAAGAGCACACTAACAAAATGAATTGAGCAGCAGTATGGCATTTTCATCTATTATTTAATAAAAATTTTGAGATAAAATATCCTGAGAGAATATGATAGTAAAAGATTACTGATTCCTAAATTCATTAGCATCTAACAAGGGCATTTTGTGTAAAATAATTACAATATAATGTGATGAATGTTATTTCTGTAAGAAAACAGAATGTTTAGTTGCTGAATTCCATATTACAGAAATGTCTAAGAAACAGTTTAGTTGAGAGCATGGAGCCAGCATTATAGAGAAAAATGGTATTTTAACTGAGTTTGCAAAGATAAGAATAAAGGAGTATACATTCCAGGCAAAATATTCTATATGCACAGAGAAACATGAAAAACAGAAAACAGAACTAAACTGATGTGGCTAGAGACACTAAAGAATGGGTTATGACTAGAAATTTAACAAATTTAAATACTAAATGGAATTTGTACACCAAGCTAAAGAGTTTCAATTTTATATGATAGACAATAAGGAGCTAGCAATTGAATGACTCTAAGAGTATGCCATAATGAAGTTTGCATTTCAAAAGAATAATAACATTGGCGACACTGTAAAGGACAGAACTGAGAAAGATATAGGAAGCCTTTTGTGAAGTTATATGTACATTGCATTAAAAAAATTGTTAAGGCCCTCCCTGGTGGTGCAGCGGGTTAAAGCACAGCACTGAGAATCTAAAGCCGCTTCCGTCTGAGTTCGATCCCCGCCTGCCCCGGAGGTGACCACATGGCGTGGCAGACCTCTCCTGACCGGCCCGCTGCTCCCCTCAGCAGTGTACTTCGTCCATCTGCCTGTTCTATTCCCCACTCTGTCTCTGGTGAATCCTCTCGCCGCCCCTGAGCCTCTGGCCTGTACCCCAGTTCTGTATGCACAAATAAATAATTCTTTAAAAAAAAATTGTTAAAAGGATCTGTGTGGGGGGCCCTTTCTGGTGGTGCAACAGGTTAAAGCACAGCACTATGAAGCTATCCAGCCACTGCAGCACGAGCTCAATCCCCAGCCAGGGGGGTGACCCACATGGTGAGTCAGACCTCTCCTGACCAACTCGCTACTCCCCTCAGCTGTATATTTCAGTAGATCTGCCTGCTCTGCTCCCCACTCTATCTCTCACCCCCGCACCTCTGGCCTGTACCCCAGTTCTGTATGTATAAGTCTTTTTTAAAAAAAAATTTCTGTGTGGATCAAAAGACAGGGCCCTATTCTCAGAAAAGGAGTAAAAGTAATGCCTGGTACAAAGAGAACAATCAGTATGTACCGAGTTATAAGAGAAGTTTAAATGAAGGAGGTAGGTCTTGAAGAATGAGTGGTATGTGTACTGGATTTTTCCCATTTGTCACTTCTGATTCATTCTCCTTTTCCCACACTGCTTTGTGTGGCTGATATGTGTGATATGGCAAGTTTGGCTCCTGGGGCTCAATCTAATTGAGCCAGGAAGAGAGTAAGGGTATTTCCCTAGTTTCCTTTCCATATGACCCCAAATTAGCAATGGTTCTGTAATTATCAGCTTTCTTCTACAGTTATATTCAAAGCTCTTTCCAGATTCTAGTATTTGCTTCCTTCCCTTCTGCTTTCAGGTTTAGGTGTTGTAATTATCCATCCTACCTACATTTCTACTTGTGGGGTGCTTCACTATGCCTTGCTGGTTTCCCTTTACTCTGCCCACACTTTTGTAAATAGTTTGTTCCTAACATTTTTTCAAAAGCCTGTGCTAACATGCCATCTATTTCTTGCCCCAGCCCTATCTAATACAAAGAAATTTTTTTTAAAAAAGGGATTTCAAGTGATGGTGGAGCAATGGAGGAGAACAAATGCAAGAAGTAAGAATTAAGATAATGACGAGTTTCGAGTTAAACCAATTGGAAGATGCTTATTAGGAAGCAATGCTGGATATTAGAATGGGATCATACCAGGGGACTTCTGAAAAGTGAATCTGAAGCGTCTGGGATTAAATAAACATTAACACTTTGAACTCACACGTGTTATATATCAATTATATCTCAGCAAAGCTAGAACAAAGTTGGGGACTTGATTTAGCAAAGAACTATTCAGTCTATCAGGCCTTTTATGTATAAATATCTAGCAATATCAGATATACAGAAGAGATACATGAAGTTAGTCATTGAGTAAAGTTGGTCTGGCAAAAACAGTGAATAAAAACTGAAGAAAAGAACACTTGTTAAGAGGCTATTAAATCCTGGCGTAAGAAGGTAAGTGTTTATACCAATGATAATCAGAGAGTGAAAAATACAATACATTGTAACTATATAATTGAACAGATAAAGGGGCTCAAAACCAGGATATGGCTGACAAAGAAAAAAAATAATCATTTATTATTTTTTTCTAGTACATTAATTACTTAATCTTAAGTGTATATTACATTAAAACCAGAGGCCTCCATAAAATAATTTTCTATTACAAATATGCTTTTGATTATATAGTCTTTATAGCTTTTAAATATACTGAACTTTTAGTATGCTGTCTGCTTACTAGCCATTTTATTCAAAGCTGTTAGAGCAGCAGATAAAAAGCACATGCTTTGATCTCATTAAATTACAACTTATAGTTTCTAGGATAATAAATATAGTGTTCCTTCCTCCTTCACCCCTCCTTTTCTGGTATGAGGTAGTCTGTTAAATGTCACTATCTCCTGAGCCTTCTGACGTTTATTCAGACAAATAGCAGAGTATATGAATGCTGCTCATGGATAGTATTGGGAATTCTTCATCATTGCCATAGTGGTGAACCTACCATTCAGAACTACACCTACCTTTATCTACAACTAAGTTTGGTCTATTTAACTTTACTCCACAAAAAAAGGGAATACTTATCCAGACCAGTAACTTAACTATCCGGAAAAAATCATAGAGTGGTATAAAAGAAAAATGAAAATTATCTTTGGGATTAATGAACAAAAGATTATATTTTTTACAATTAGAATTTTTAAATGAATGATATAGCCAGTGTTAGTAAATATAATTAATTTCTGAAAACAAAAAAAGAAAACTTAGTTATAAATCAAGACCACATAAAAAACATTAAAAACAGGACAGAAATAATTCTAAATTCTCACCTTTTCAGCAATTAGACATGGAAGTCTCAAAGGTAATAAATTCTAAAATTTTCACTTTTTACCCATCTATATAATATCTTTCCCAGGAACTGTATGAAAACAAGGTGACCTTTCTGAAGTGACAGATGTCACTAGTGCATGACACATCAGCACATTTAGGTAGCCCTGCCTAGGGTCTAAGTACATGGAGGAAAGGAGCAAGTGTACCATGAGCAACACTATTCCATTTGTGCACAGTAACATTATTCACCCAGATATCTCTCTCTATGGATTTACATGCACCTCCTCTCCATCTACAGGCCTGTCTTAAACTATGTTATAAGTATCGCCATAAAGTCCATTATGTTACAATGAAGCATGTCTTTATTCAATAAAAATTTTAATTTACTTTAGAAGTTTATGAAATATAATCTATTCATAATGAAACTGAATAAAGAATATTTTTCAATATAATCACTGTGTTCCTGTGATTTATAATAAAAAATACTATACTTATTGGTCTCTGCTGCTGGTTTCTGGATGAGTTCCTAAAATCTTTGGAATTTTATTAGTGGTGAGAGCTTTGGAGTGTCTTTTGTTATGTTAATGAGGCAGCTTTTTTAAATCCTTAGGTAACCAATGGATGGGACTGGTTGGCAGAGGATCTAACCAATTGGTTAGAGTGCTGGAACTTACAATCTTCCAACACTCCTTTATTTTCATGTGTATGTCACAGACACACTTCTTGGGAGATTGAGTCCAATGGCCAATAATTCAATTAATCATGCCTTGGTGATAAAACCTAAAAATCCAAAATTATAGAGTGAGGAAAGCTTCCAGGTTTCAGCAGGAGTAGTGTGCTTGAGAGTATGAATGCTCTGCACCCTTTCTCTCTACCCTATAGTATATATCTTTTTCATCTTTATATGTCCTTCTATAGTAAATCAGTAAATCTAGAAAATAAAATGTTTTTCTCAGCTCTGTGAAGACACTCTAGGAAATGAACTCAAGGAGGAATTAAAAGCAGAATCCTCAATCACCAAGTTAATATGAATGTTGATATTAGTAAAAATTTAAAAACTGATTTAAAGAGATACTGAAAGGGTACTTATTCAAAACTGTCAGTCTTTAGTTATTTATATTTACATTTGAAGCTTAGATTGATAATGCATCTAACTAAACTGACTTAAATAATAATGAAGAGGTACTGGCTCACATAACTGAAAACCAAGAGGTAGGGCAAAGGCAGGGTTCATCTCCACAGACTCAAAAGTGTCATCAAAGTAGATTTATTTACTAATCACACCAATCTGATATCCACAGGCTTCTCCTTTTCAGTTTCTCAGGATAGTAGAATGACAGCCAGTCATTTGTTTCAGGTCATCTATCCACTAATGAAACAATGCTGCTACGAAAGAAAGGAAATGTCTATGGCCATCTGCCAATTTAGAGCTCATCTCTAAAGTTGGAGGCATCAAAACAAAAGTCAGGATGAATTTAGGAGGAAAAAGGAGATGACGATGCTTAGTAAGAAACCAGTAAGTATCCAATGCATGCTCCCATTCATGTTGTATTAGTCACACATGCACTTTTCTATTTCTTCAAAAATACTACACTCTTTACTACCTCAGGCTTTTATACATGCTGTTCCCCTGACCTGAAACATTATTCCCTTTCTTCTCCCACTTCTTTATAAACTAATCATTAGTTGTAATATTATCATAACCTTTACTTTTTCTTCGCATCATTTACAAGACTTAAACTTTTTAAGTTTTGTGATTATTTTATGTCTACCTCCTCCATTCGGCTATAAGCTTCCAAAAGACTGTACCATGTTTCCCTCCAGCCCCATACTTGTGTTCTCAGTAAAACATAGTATTTGGCACACAGAAGTCACTCAAATATTAAATGACTGAATGAATAAAGGATGCTAATGAGACTGGCAAATAACAAACACATATTAACTATTCAATCTATTCATATAAAAATATATGCTATAGGTCACAAGTTAATATTTTGAATGAATTAAATTTACTCATTATGTTTATTAAAATCATAATTCAAGGCCTTCCCTGGTGGCGCAACGGATTAGGACGCAGTACTGCAAGTGAGCCACAGCCATTTCAGTGCAAGTTCGGTCCCTGACCCTGGAGGTGATCCACATGGTGTGGCAGCTGTCTCCTTACCCGACCGCTGCTCCCCTCAGCAGAGTACTTCATCTGTCTGCTTGTTCTACTCCCTACTCTGTCTCTAGTGAATCCTCTCACCACTCCCACACCACTGGCCTGTACCCAGTTCTTTATGTTTAAATAAATTTTAAAAGATTTTTAAGTTTAAAAAAAACATAATTCAAAGTTTATGAATATGTATTTAAAACATTATCTTTTAAACAAAAAAATCTACCCAACATTTTTCAGTAATATTTCATAAAACTAATTATTTTAAACTGTAATTTTTATAATACAAAAAAAATCATACCTTTTTTAAATTGCATATTTCAGATTCTTGTTTTTTATTTAAGGCTGAAAGTCTTTTGTTTAACTGTATTGCTTCCTGTACTGTAACACGAAAGACACTTAGAAAAATGTTGTATTTCAATGTACATTTTAAGGAAAGTATCATTAACATGAGCAAGGAAAACAGCCTTAATCAAAGTATATAATTACCACTGAATTAAAGCATTCATTAAGCTGACATTTACTAGTCCCAGTATCGGATAAAATTATTCATTATAAATAGTCTATTTAAACATTCCCTATTAGGCCCTTCCTGGTGGCAGAAAGGGTTAAAGTACAACACTATGAAGCTATATGTAGACACCACAGCTTGAGTTTGATCCCTGACCAGGCAGGTGACCCACATATTATGGCAGACCTCTCCATCTCACCCATTGCTCCTCTCAGCAGTGTATTTCAGTCAATCTGTCTGTTCTGCTCCCCATTCTGTCTCTGAGGAAACCTCTCACCCCCCACACCTCTGGCCTGTACCCCAGTTCTTGTATACAAAAATAAAAAAATAATAAAGTTATTTTTAAAAAATAATAAACATTTCCAGTATCTATTAACTATGTAAGCAAATTTAAGTAAGATAGCACCTACCATTCTGTTCTAACTTTTCATGGTTTTCTTTTACCAGTCCAAATTGACCTGTTATTGTCGTATAGTATTTCTCAACTTCAGTCAATTGCTTCTGATGATCTTCTTTAGCCAGAAGATGTAGCTGGACTTTCTGTTCCTATTTGAAGAGTTACTTTAAATGCTGTACATATATAATACACACACACATATACATTTTTACACATATATATTAAACATATATAGTTTTTAATAATTGTTATTAACGTCATGAAATAATATTGAGTATGCCATATAGAGGAAATGCTAGGATATATTTCTAAACCTATTAAAGAACATATTCTTCCTGTAATAATTGTCACTTAAAGTTCTATTTCTCTTGTTAACTATTTTTTTTAGTAAATCTACTGTTTTGTTTACAGAAAAGTTAAGTAATCCAGTACAAAACTACAATACAAAAGCAAAGTAAAAAGAATATTAAAGCAACTCTTCTGAAAATTCAGGGACTACATTTTTTTAGCTGCTAGAGACAAAAACAGAATTTAGTAAGTAGCTTTATATGTTATAAGGTTTCCATATTACTAATAGACATTGTATTCATCATTCCATTTTTAGTGAAGTGAAAAGCTTCTATATCCATTAAAGTAAAAAAATTATCTGTGTTTTGATAATGCACATCATAATTATGCCACTCAGTAAATTTAGAGGAAAAAAATTTCAAATACACAGGTACCAATTTTTACCAATTATGTCTTCCAGTTCAAATAAGCATCAAAGATATCTATAGAACACCCAAAATTACTGCTTTCAAGAGCACATAGGAATATTTTCAACACTAGAATTTATGTTGGGACATGACTTGTGTCCTAATACTACAGAGATTAAAGTCACAGCAAATAATTTTTCTGATCACAAAGCCATAAAGCTAGAAATCCACTATTAAAACCAAAAACACAAGAAAAACAATAACAAGGAAAACAAGGAAACTCAGTAATAGGCTGCTTAACAGCTATTGGGTTAAAGAGAAAATTAAAGTACAAGTTAAGAATACCTTAAGACTAATGAAAATAAGAATACAAGCTATCATGGCCTGTTAGATACAGCAAAAGCAATCCTCAGAGGGAAGATAATTGCAATACAGGTCCACATTAATAAGCAACAAAACCACTAACAAATAACTTAATGTGATACCCAAAGAAACCTTATAAAAGAAAAAATTTTAGTTAGTAGAGTAGAAGAAAGGAAATAATAAAAAAGAGAACAAAAAGACTACATAAAAGATCAATGCAATAGAACTGGCTAAGCTGTTAGTAAGAGGGCTAACAAAGAAAACACTAAAAACCAAACAGAAATAAAAGAGGAGAAACTACCACAGACGAAATAGAAATAAAAAGGATAAGAGATTATATGAAGTAACTTGCCAGTAAATTCAATATTTCCCTTGAAGAAATGGAAACATTTCTAGAATACTATAGTTTATCAAGAATAAACTAAGAAGAAACAAAAATGTTAAAACAAACTAATCACAATCATATAAATTAAAATAGCATTAAAAAAAATCTCTTCCAGGGCCCTCCCTGGTGGCACAGCTGGTTAAAGCACAGCACTAAGAAGCTAAAGCCACTTCAGCATGAGTTTGATCCCTGACTACCCCCGAGGTGATCCACATGGTGCAGCAGACCTCTCCTGACCCAACCACTGCTCCCTTCAGCAGTGTACTTCTTCAATTTGTCTGTTCTGCTCCTCACTCTGTCTCTGGTGAATCCTCTCGCTGCCCCTACACCTCTGATATGTACCCCAGTTCTGTATGCACAAATAAATCTTTGAGAAAAAAAATCTCCCCTAAAACAAAGCCCAGGACCAAATGGCTTTGTAAGTGAATTCTATCAAATCTCTGAAGCAGAACATATGCCCATATTGCTCGTTACTTCTAAAAATCTAAAGACAGGGAATATCCCCAAATATATTTTACAAAGCCAACATTACCTTAATGTTTAACTTACCAAAACCAGAGAAAGGCAGAACAAAAAAGAAAACTACAGACCAACAGCTTTGATAATTACTAATGTAAAAATCTTCAACAAAACACTGACAAATTGAATTTAACAATATGTTAGAAGATTACACATCATGACCAAGTGGGATTTATGCCCAGGAAGCAAAGATAAAACATATTACATCAACAAACGTAAAGATAAAAATCATGTAACATCAATAGATGAAGAGAAAGCACTTATTAAGACTGAACACCACTTATGACAAAAACTTAAAACAAAATGGGAATAAAAGAAACCTACTTCAACATAATAGAGGACATATATCACAAACCTACAGCAAATATAATACTTTATGATGAAGACTGAAACTTTTTCTTTTCCCTTCAAGGTCAGACAAAACAAGGATATGCACTGTTACCCTGTTTAACCTAGTATAAGAAGGTTTAGTTAAAGCAGTCAGACAACAGGAAATCAAAAAGAACCCAGATTGAAAAGAAAGCAACATACAAGAATCAGCTGCATTTTTATATATAAACAAAGAACAAGAAGAAAAGGAAATTAAGAAAATAATTCCATTCATAATCACTTCAAAAAGAATTAATAATCAACATAGCCAGGGAGACGAAGGAATTAAGACAATGAAAACTGTAAGACGTCATTAAAGGATTTAGTTTATCACATGAGACAAAAAATATTCCATGTTCATGGCTGCGGAGAAACAATATAGTCAAAATGACCATTATACCAAAAAATGCTATACAAATTTAACATAATGTCCATAAAAATACTAGAAGTATTCTTCAAAGAAACTGAACCAAAATATTAAAATTTATATGAAACTATAAAAGGCCTCAAACAGCAAAAACAATCTTGAGAAAAGAAGAGAAAAACAGAGACATCATGTTATTTGATTTTAAAATATAAGTTATAGTAATTAAAATAATATATTGGCATAAAATAACAGACATGTGGATCAATGTAAAGAATCAAAAATCCAGCATTAAATTTATGCATAAAGCAATATTTAATTTAAGATAAAGAGTGATGACCATACATTGGAGAAAGGGTGCTGGGAAGTGAATGGTCACATGTAAAACAATGAAATCAGATTAAAGACTTAGATATGAGACATGCAACAATAAAGTATGTGGAAGAAAACACTGATGATAAATTTCATGACATCAACGTTATCACCTCATTGAATGGAAGAATATATTTATATATTACACAACTGACATGGGTTAATATCCAACATATATTTAAAAACATACAATTTAACAAGCAAATTTATTAAATAGGCATGTAAAAATAATATTTACACGTAACCTTTTAGAACTATATTTACCAACTAAAGGCATAGTTGCTGCGTTCCCCCTTTCCTTATTTACTTGCAGAGACTGGTTTGAAAACTTTAGGAGAGAAGACTCTCTTCTCTTAAAATACTTTAAGTAAATCTTTTACTTTTAAGATTTATTTATTTATGCATACAAAACTGGGGTACAGGCAGAAATGCAGGAGCAGTAAAAGGGTTCACCAGGGACAGAGTGGGGAGTGGAACAGGCAGACTGAGGAAGTATACTGGTGAGGGGAGCAGCAGGCGAGTCAGGAGAGGTCTCCACACCACATGGATCACCTCTGGAGCTGGTGATGGAACTCACGCTGAAGTGGCTTTAGCTTCTTAGTGCTGTGCCACCCGGAAGGGCCCCATTGTAAGTAAATTTTAAGGAAAAAAGTTCTAAATTATACTTCACATATTCTTCATTTCTACTATTGTGACCTACCTTTCAATTTCTTCAATATGAATCCAAAATAAATTAGTGTGGTATCTTTCATAAGTAGCTTTTTTTAAAAAAAAAAAAAGATTTATTTATTTATTCATATAGAACTGGGGTACAGGTCACAGATGCAAAGGGTGAGAGGATTCACCAGAGACAGAGTGAGGAGCAGAACAGGCAAATCGAAGAAGTACACTGCTGAGGGCAGCAGTGGGCAGCTCAGGAGAGGTCTGCCTCGCCAGGTGGATCTCCTCCGGGGCAGGCAGGAATCGAACTCATGCGGAAGTGGCTTTAGCTTCTTAGTGCTGTGCTTTAACCCGCTGCGCCACAAGGGAGGGCCTCTTAAGTAGCTTTTATAGCTTTACCAGGACTCCCTGGTGGAACAGGGGTTTTTGTATCAGAGCTATCAAGCTATGGATAGCCACTGTGGCATGAGTTCCATCCCTGGCTGGGGAGCTAACCCAACAAGGTACAGCAGACCTGTCCTGTCTTAACTGCTGCTCCCCTCCATAGTGTTCTGTTCCACCTGTTCTACTCCCTGCTCTGTCTCCAGTAAATCCTCTTAGCCTCCACACTTCTACATCCCAATTCTTGTATGCATAAATAAATAAAATCTTTTTAAAAATAGCTATTACCATTCTCTTCATAAATGCAAGGGATATACTACTTAAACAATCATGTTACACATATCCGTATGTATGTACAGATATACTTAATATTCATAATCACAGAAATGATTTCTAGACAAATCTTCAATCTAAAAATATTCTACTAAAAAAGAAAGTATGTTGTAATTCTAAATCAAATCCAAGCCTTCAATATTGAAACTTTGCTTTAATAAATAAAAGTAAACATCTCCTAAAAGGTCTTTCCTTTAAAAGAAAGTGACATACAGGGCCCTCCCTAGTGGCACAGTGGGTTAAAGCACTGCACAAAGAAGCTTAAGCTACCTCTGCATGAGTTCGATCCCCGCCTGCCCCAGAGGAGATCCACATGGCAAGGCAGACCTCTCCTGACCAGCCCACTGCTCCCCTCAGCAGTGTACTTCATCAATCTGCCTGTTCTGTGCCCCACTCTGTCTCTGGTGAATCCTCTCACTGTCCACATCTCTGGCCTGTACCCCAGTTCTGTACAAATAAATAAATAAATCTTTAAAAAACAAAAGTGACATACAAAAAAAGACATAAAACATAAGAGATGGTTGGATAATTTTCTACTTCATTCTTTTTTAGCTCTACTAGCCACTCAGTTATACAACACAGTAGTCATTGAACACAACAAGAAAGATTTTTTTTTTTTAAGATTTTTTTTTACTTATTTGCGCATACAGAACTGGGGTACAGGCCAGAGGCTCGGGGGCGGTGAGGGCTTCACCAAAGACAGGGTCACCTCCGGGGCAGGCAGGAATCGAACTCATGCGGAAGTGGCTTTAGCTTCTCAGTGCTGCGCTTTAACCCGCTGTGCCACCAGGGAGGGCCCACAACAAGAAAGATTTTTATCAATGACCAAATCAGGGTGCCTCCCTGGTAGCTCAAGGGGTTGAAGGAAAGCACTATGAAAATATCTGCATTCACTACAACACAACTTTGATCCCTGCCCAGGAGGGTAACCTGAATGGCACACCAGACCTCTCCTCTGCTCTCCTCAGCAGTGTATTTCAGTAGACCTGCCTGTTCTGCTCACCACTCTGTCTCTGCTGAATCCTCTCTCCTATCCCCACTACACATCTCTGGTCTGTACTCCAGTTTTGTATGCATAAATAAACCTTTTTTAAAAAATGACCAAATCACAGTAAGCTTATTTTTATGTTTTACTGCATTCTTTTTACTGGTAATGATCAATGAGATTCATTAACTGGGAAGGTCTGAAGACCTTTAAAGATAAATGAATTTTTCAATACATAATTGTGTTGAATTATCCAGGGACATATCAGCTAACTGAATTCCTAAAGACAGTAATTAGCCAGTACTTATAGGCTCACCTAGATCATGAAATTCTTTAAAATTTTCTCAGTTCCATTTTTAACATTACTTCTTTTAGGACACAACTTTATATTGCTCCCCAAAGTCCTGTCTTGACACTAGTAGTCATCTTATTTCCTGACTTGCCCAGAGAATCAAATATAAAACAATAGTCTCCTACTCCTAATAAAATAAGATTAACTTAATTACTGAATGATTATATAATGATATACATACACTGTATAAAGCTGAATTAAAGAAAAGATCATCTGAATTAAATATGAATAGAAGGAGAACATTCACAAAAGATTTTTAACATTTGAATCAGTTATCTAAAAGATAAATATTCTATCAGAATTGGCATTAAAATGTACATGTCAAAATATAAAATTATTTTAGTGCAAAATGATTTAATAGTTTGAACTGTTGGGGGAAAATAATGTAACTATAACTCAAACATTTTAGTAGTCTCTTCAGAGGCTGTAATTCATAATAATAAAATGCTTGGACATGATCAAAACTACTGTAAGTATATTGCATGTCTCTGTTTTTTTAAAGATTATATGTATCTCTTTAATGAAATTTTAAAGTGGAATAAAATAAAACACATTTTATGTTGCCTTTGATCTTTAACTTGTAGCCTTATCTCCCAGGTGAAAGGGCACATTATTCAATTTCACTATATTTTGTGTAAAACCACTGTAGCGTTGAAGATGACTTTCAGTACAAATGTCATGGTACTTAAAGCTCAAACCAGAATCCAGTTTTTCAGCTTCTTAATTAAAATCATAGTTTAAAATAGTCTGACAATATTATCTTTATTCTTTCCAGTTGAACAGTGACAGAATTTAACATCTTTTATTCAACCATGCTTAACAATCTTTCTATGGCTCTTTTATTTTCTAATATACCAAAACAATTTCAAGAAATAAAATACTTATGCTTTTGTATTAATGTTAAAAGGAGTGATATCTCATTTCTTAATTCTCATATATACATATCTTACTCATAAGTAATTTTACTTGCCAAAGAAATAATATAAACCCACCCAAAAAGCCCTCTGTAGATTTAGGTGAATATATGAAAATTTTGCTCAAAAAAGAAAAATAGCCATTCTGAATCAAATAGGGATAGACAGAATATCAAGCAAATACTCCATAGTATGCTATGCTATAAAAATGCAAGAATTTTAACATCCTAATGAAGAGATATTCACAATAAATGAACACTTGTTGATGACTACTCTAGTCCAATTACAGTATTTAAGTACATTATATAATGTTTTTAGGCTGTAATTAAAACTGTAATAAATACCTAGAAAAGATATTAAAAGAGGTTTTAGAGTTTTGTTATTCCTGTTTCTTTGTTGTTTTAATATACAGCCTCTATCAAAATTTGGAACTGTGTTAAGTTTATTTTTAATATATAAATATTATGTACTCTGGAAATAAAAATTTGTGAAATTAAGTTACATTTGAAACTACACCTCAGTTCTTTAAAGAGGATATTAATATCCAATTTCAACTTTTTAAAACCATAAATGTCACATTTATATTGATAAAAATATTGCACATATTATATACTAATCTGGAGTTATACATTTTGTAATTTCCTTACCATTTCACTCACTTTCTTCTGTAAAGAATATTTGGAAACCTTAAAAGAAAAAGGAAAAATTGAAATGCTTTAGTTATCTGTTGTAAATTCCTCCAGATATTAAAATGGAATGCTATAAAATATGGCATTTATAGACACTATTTTATAGTGACTTTTTTTTAAACATTACTTACCATAACCTTCTTCCATATAACACATTACATTTCTTCATTTATTCAACACATATTTTTTTTATTTTATAAGTTTATTTTTACATATTTTTGCGCATTTTTCCATCTCAGTTGCAATCCTCTTGGGTTTCCCATCATCAAATCACCCATGTACCATCACCATAGTCTAGTGCATTTCCCTTCCCCCACTGTTTTAGATCCCATTCCCCACTCCACCCCCATAAAATGTCTTTGGTATATAGGTGTTCATCAACATCATTACTTTCTCGCCTGTTCCGTTATATTCCTGCTATGAGAGAAACCATCTGGTATTTTCCCTTTTCTTTCTGGCTTATTTCACTAAGCATGATCTTCTCCAGCTCCATCCATGTTGCTGCAAAAGACATGTGTTTCTCTTTTTTGGTTGCTGAGTAATATGCCATTGTATATATGTACCACATCTTTTTAACACAGTCATCCATTTTTGGGAATTTGGGTTGTTTCCATGTCTTTCCAATTGTGAATGAAGCAGCAATAAACATGGGGTGGCACATATCTTTCTGAACCAGTGTTTTTGTGTCTTTTGGGTATCAGATACCTAAGAGTGGGATTGCTGGGTCATAGGGAAGCTCCATGTTTAGCAGTTTGAGGAACCTCCAAACAGTTTTCCATAGTGGTTGTACTAGTTTGCATTCCCACCAGCAGTGCAGGAGAGTTCCTTTTTCTCCACATCCTCGCCAACATTTGTTGTTGCTAGTTGTTTGAAGATGTGCCATTCTCACTGGGGTGAAGTGGTATCTCATTGTGGTTTTAATTTGCATCTCCCTTACTACAAGCGATGTATTCAACACATATTTATGGAGCACTTATTGGAAGTGAGTTTCCTAGGAGACTGGAATGCAACAGAGAACATAACAAATTCCCTAACCTTAGTGGGGATAGTAGCAGACAATAAAATATGAGTGTTAAGTACAGAAGTTAGAAAGTGACAACTACTACAGAGGCAAATAAAGCAAGTGTTGTCAAGACAAATTTGATCCAACTTCCTCCCAAAGACAAATCTATAACTACAAATGGAATAATTAACAAGGAAGGAATCCTGAAATCAAACAGAGGTACCAAGGATAAAAGGATAGGACCAAGACAGGTACTAAGGAAAGATAAACTTCCAGTCATAAACTCTGGGAATACAATGTACAGAATTATGACTATATATGATAACAGTACTGTATCATGTATATAAATTTTACTAAGAAAGATATTCTAACAAGTTATCACAGAAGAAAAAAATCATAACCACAATATGTAAAGTCATGGATGTTAAGTAATTCTGGTAATCATTACTAAATTTTGGCAATTTGGTAATCACTGAATATAGAAATAAATCATGCTGAATGTCTTAAACTAATACAGTATTTCTATGTCAATTATAACTCACAAATCTGGAGGGAAAAATTTCCCAAAGGTAGTATATATATATATATATATAAAACTAGATTGTAAACACACCAAAAAATCTGGTCACACTAAAAACAAATATGGTTGAACCAATTACATTCCCACTACCACACCAAACTTATTCTTGGTATTTTGAAATTTTTTAATGTCAACCTTTTTGATAGGAGTGAATTGTTATCCCACTGTGGTTTGATTTGTATTTTTTGGGACAAAGCACCATTTCATATATAATCTTATATAATCTTCATGTGCTGGTGCATGAAATGCCTGTCCCAGTTTTTTTCCTACCCCTTTCTTGCTGAAATGCAGGCATTCTTTATATAAGGTCTGTCATGAATCTCAGCTACTATATTGCAAATATCCTCCTACTCCATGACTTTTCACCACCTTAATAGTGGCCTCAGAACAAAAGTTCTTTACCTTAGTGATGTCCAGTTTACCAACATTTCCTTTTTTGATTAGTGCCTGGTTTAAGAAATCTTGATCTACTCCAAGTTCATAAAGATATTCTCCTATGTTTCAGGAATGTTATGGCTTTGGTTCACACAGAAGCTGACATCTGTCATTGATTCCCTATATTGATATTCAATTGACCTGCCACTATGTATTGAAAAGAGAATCCTTTCTCCCCCACAGCACTAAAGTGGAATCTTTGTCATATTACTCAGCAACCAAAAAGAGAAACACATGTCTTTTGCAGCAACTTGGATGGAGCTGGAAAAGATTATGCTTAATGAGATAAGCCAGAAAGAGAAAGAAAAATAGTGGATGGTCTCACTCATAGCAGGAGTATAATGGACCAGGCGAGAAAATAACAAGAATAATGAACAGCCATATACCAGAGACATTTGGTGGGGTGGAGTGGGGAATGGAATCAAAAATGAGGGGGTAGGGAGGGAAGTGCATGGGATTATGGTGATGGCACACGGGTGACTTGGTGATGGAAAACCCGCGGGGATTACAATTGAGATGGAAAAAAAAAATGTACAAAATGATGTAAAAATGTTATAAAAATAATAATAAATTAATTAAATTTTTAAAAAATCCTGCTGGATGTTTTATTGGTATTACTTTGAATCAATCAACTTATTTCACAGAACTGCAATCTTACAATAATATCAGAGGATTTCCTATTTATTGATTTATTTTTTAATTTTGTCTCACAAACTGGGATATATGCTCCATGAGAACAGGAATTCTATTCATTTTGTTTACTGGTATCCCACAACCTGGTAAAATTTAGACTCTCAAAAAATATTTTTAAATATATTTTTAAAAAGAAAGCAAAACAAGCAAGAGCTGTCAATGGCAAGTTTGCTCTTCAACATCAGCTCTTCATTGGAGGAAAGTTGATAAAACACACAGATATAAACCTTGTTCTAAATAAATCATTATATAATTTCAAAATAATAAACATTAACATTTTAATATCCAGATATTTGTCTATGCACTTATATTCTAAAACAAAGTCAGTGAGGAGTGGAATAATAAGATAGGTAATATTTTGTGACCTATTTTTACCTAATACATAATAAAACCTTTCTATAACAAATTTGGGGCATTCAATCAGTTTTCTGTTTTTTGCTATTATCAATTATGCTAAAATAAACATGTTTGTACCAATAACTCTGCAATTACTCACTTCAGAATACGTTCCAAGATGCCATTTCCTAAGACTTACTCATTTTTATAGACTTCTAACAGTTTTACACAGTACTTCAAAGTAGTCACCCACTAAACTCAACTCATATTCTGGAGTACTCATTTTCTTAAATTCTCCTTATATTTTAAAATTTTAAGCAGAAATATTCATATTTCTGAGGGACTAAAATATTAACATACTGCCTAAACAAGCTGATGGCTTTATTTTCTTTTGGGGAAATGAGTTATTTGTGAATAATTTCTTAAAGATGGGATACTGTAACTAAAGCACTGATCAGTCATTAGGTTATAATGTTGGACAAAAAAATTCTGTCCAAAAAATTCTGGATAATGCTGATATAAAGCAACGTAAGTAAATTTTAAAGTATGGTATATTAGATACTGATAAGTGCTAAAGAAAAATAATAAATCAGAAAAAAGGATTACATTGGATGGCTAGGTAAGTCCTTTCTGTGAAGACAACTGCTGAGTAGACTTAATAGAAGTGACAGACTAGAAAGGCTCTAAGGTGGAAAAATATCTCCTGTGTTCAAATAACAGTAAGGAAGTCAGTGTGAGTAGGAGGGAGTAACCAGAGAAAGAATAGTAAAAAATAAATTCAGAGTAGAAGAGGGGGAGGACCAAATATTACTAGGAAGGCCTTGTAATGCATGATATGAACTTAGGTTTCTATATTGAATGCGACACAAAGCCACTGAAGTATTCTAAGTATAAATATGATATAGCCTGACTTATTTTTTAAGAAGACAACTCTACTGCCTTAACATTAAAGATGAACAGAAAACTGCAAAAGAGTAACTTTGTACCTTTACACAAAAATCAATTCAAATGGATTAAAGACTTAACTATAAAACCTCAGACAGTAAAAATATTAGGAAAAAAACATAGGGAAAGAGCTTCTTGACAATAGCTGGGCAATAATATTCTGGGTATGATACCAAAATCACAAATAACTAAAGCAAAACTAGAAAAATGGGATTGCATAAAGCCAAAGTTTCTGCAACACAAGTATCAAAAAAGTGAAAAAGCAACCCACTTAATGAGTTGAGAAACTGATTATATATTTCTCAAAAGAAGAAATACAATAGTCAACACAAACATAAAAACATACTCAACACCACTAATCATCAGGGAAACACGATGAGGTATCACCTCCTATATTAGAATAGATATGATCAAAAAGACCACAGAAGTATTGGTGAGGATATGGAACAAAGAGAATGCTTATATTATGTCAACTGAATAAAGGAACAAATCCGTACTATGATGTGAATTACTTGATTAAGAGAAGTACCATCAAGAACCTTATTGTCAAACATATAACACTCTTTGTAATTAACATTATCTATATTGTAATACTTTGACATCAGGTGAATTTTTTTCTGTTAACAATCTTTATTTTACTTTTTAATCAAATTTTATTGTCTTTCCCACTGAATTTAAGCTCCACAAGGGCAGAGATTTTTATCCTTTTTATTCATTAATGTATCTCCAAATCTTAGACTAGTGCTAGGCACACAGACCTTCAGTAAATATATACTGAATCAGCAATTTTCCACGAGACTGTGAGTAACTTAAAGGCAAACATGTAGTCTTCATTTTTGTATTTAGAGAACACAAACACAGTTGTAAGAAATAATTACTCAGTGCTATATTTAATTTTTAAGGCCATGGGTAAATCGGTTATAGTATATAGATATGACTTGCTTTCCTCATCTATAAAGTAGTAAAAACAATATATATATATATATTTAACTGTATTACTGTTAAGAAATTGGGAAATTTATTTTAATAAATAGTTTTAAAATGAGAGATGGGGACAAATGGCCACTAATTTGAAATTCAAAGTTCCTCCCACTCAAAAAAGTACTAGATTATATAGTGTATACAGTACATTGTAAGCTATATGAATTTCCACAGTGGCTAATTTAAACATTTAAGTGATATTTTACTGATAGTGCTAAAATAGTATATCAATTTTTAAGCAACATTAAATTATCTTACCTGTAATGCTTTTAATGTTTCCTTCAATCCTTCTATTTCTTTTTCTTTTATTTCTGTAGCAAGCTGATATTTTCCCTTTAAGGAAAAAGCTATATTAAAATACCTTCCAATGTTAATGAAATTATCAATGGAGAAAATATAGGAATTCAAAAACCAAAATCTCTACTTTAAATCTAATGCTTTAAAATTATATCTGTCCTACAAATTACATTTCTAGGGACTTCAATGTATCATGAAATTACAATGTCTTTATAAGATTGTAAATATCATGAACTGGAAAGTAACAACAAATCATTTTAACAGTAGAACATTCCTGAGTACTTAAGAACACTATATAATTAGGTTTTTAATTTATATAATTAATAAGAGATTATCTGTCTTATAAATTTAGATATAGGAAAATTTTAAATGAAGGTAGTTTGCTAAAAATAAACTATAATATAAATAATATGTTCATTAATTAAAATATATTAAGTAACTGGAGAAAAATAATGTCAGGTGAAATATCTAGGACTGTTCAGAATTGTGTCTTCTTTTCCAGTTGCTCTGAACCCAGATGTAAATCATCTTTGTGTTGCCAAGTTAATTACACTGAAAAAGCACTAAAAATAAGTTTAATATAAGCATTCAGAAACATGCGAAGAACAGTAATATGGGGACTAAAACTGTCTGGATTCTACTCCCACTTTGCTGATTTTAGTAATCTCAACTATAAAGTAAGTCAAGTAATGTGATTCTCTTGGGGCCTTCCTATTTCGAAGATTTTAAGCAAGTAACAGTTTCTATTTATTAAGCTCCTTTCCAATGGATAATTAAATGCATTTAGTTATAACCCTTTAAATCATTTACAAATAAATACCTTTTCTTCTTCCAAGGAACACATCTTCATTTGCAACTGATGAACAATTTTAAAAATTAAAATACAGGTAAGTATGGTAAGTAAACTGGTAACAATGATTTATACTTATCATTGAGACTTTAGAAATATTTTACATATTGATATTAATGTGGATATGCTACTACTACATTGTGAAAATAAAAGATACAAAAGGGGAAACAGTCCTTCACCACTACTACATTGTGAAAATAAAAGATACAAAAGGGGAAACAGTCCTTCACCAGAAGAAATAAAACTATTTGATTACACTAAATTGAGATACCTAAAAATTTATTTTACACCCCCTGAATTTTTTTCTTAAATGCTGCAATATTTTGCCAACTATGCATAAGTAATAACATATGTCATTTTCTGAAGGCACACTTTAGTGAAATCAGTATCATTTGTATTTTCATTGACAATATTTCTTTTCTACAACTAAAAATATACATGGGAAGCCAAGCAAATAGTGACATTTTATAATAGAAAAATAAAGTGAATATGCCAAAGAAAACTAAGTATTATAAGCAACACAGATATTATGCCAAGTTATCAAGGAATAAAATTTTCTTTTGGACCATTTCCATTTCATTTAACAAATTTCTCATTTATATTCAAAAATCCTTTCCTACTAAAAAAAAATATAGATCTTGGCCCTCCCTGGTAGCGCAGCGGGTTAAAGCACAGCACTAAGAAGCTAAAGCCACTTCCGCATGAGTTCGATCCCCGCCTGCCCCAGAGGAGATCCACATGGCGTGGCAGACCTCTCCTGACCCGCCTGCTGCTCCCCTCAGCAGTGTACTTCATCAATCTGCCTGTTCTGCTCCCCACTCTGTCTCTGGTGAATCCTCTCACCCTCTGCATCTCTGGCCTGTACCCCAGTCCTGTATGAATAAATAAATCTTCAAAAAAAAAAAATACAGATCTTGAGCATTCAGGTTGACATAGCAAAGGACTTTAGTGGTAAGTGTGGTGTGGTGTCATATATCTCAGATATATGAACCTATTTCCCTAAATAATATCTAATGTTACCTCAATTAAAACTTTTTTAAATTAAAAACAAGAAAAAGAAATATGGGGCAGCACCTCCTCTACCCTTCAGAGAACTGAAATATTCTCATCTGTCCAAAGTCTCTTGTAGAAAGAGACATGTATTTGCTTGTTTCCTTACCCTTTAGTTAAAATTCCCATAACTTTGGTGAGGCTAATCTTACTAAAAGGAAGAAAGTTTATCAAATGATTAAATAAATTCACTATACAATGTGAGTTACCAAGAACTCTGATGCTCTTGTGATAAATGACATATAGAATTATTTTTTATATTAATTTCTCTTTCTAAACACACACTTGTATGGAGATGAAAACAAAGAGGAAAAGAAAAAATTGCAAGGACAAGATAACTTCCAAAGGCTCTTTTCCATAAGTGCCTACCTTACACTTTCTAACCAAGGAGTACAGAGAAATTTAAGAGAATCAAGAAGAGCTACAGAATCACAGATAATTAAAGGGGTTGCTACTTATTTCTTTTAGATCTTTTCCTTTAATTTTTTTCTACTAACTTTTCTTAGTTGCTGATAGCTAACATCTATGGAGGTCTGGGTGCAAGATAATCATGTCTCATACTTCACATCTCCTACTTTCATTTCAACTTTTCATCAGGGTTAAAATTCTGGAAATTTAATCTGGAAAAGGTTAGATACTTAGATATTCTAATCAAAGAGAAGGGGATAGGGAAAAAAGAATAAGAACACACATACCATTAACTTATTTAAAATAGATGAAAATACATTTCCAATAGTTTTTCAAATTTTTCTCCATAACTACTGAGTATACTGTATTACATTCCTTATTATCAGTTGTAATTCAAGATAACTTTAGCTATTTCCTGCTTCCAATAATACTCTTTTGGTCTTCAGTTAGTATGGGAAACAGTATGTCATAACAGTCAAAGGAGGATGAGGAAGTTCAGTATTTAAACTGTAGTGTTTATCTATCAGATGAAATTACCTGCTTTTTAAAAACTGCCATTGCTTCTTTGTGTTGTTTTGCCAATACTTCCTTTTGATTCTGAAGAGTCTCCTATTTCAAAAATTATGGAAAGTTAAAACAACTTGTAGCAAAACACTTTCCATTTTGAATTCTAATTGGGTTCACAATTAAAAGTTTAACATTTATTATATAAATTATGTGCTGAAATAACTCTAAAACAATTCAGAGTTTTAACTATCATGGAGTCAGTAAACAATGATTTTTTTCCACTTGCATTTTCAAGATAAAACATCTTAGTTTTTAAATTTTTAAACTGGACATGGGCTGTTCCACAACCTTCGAGAAGTTATCTTTTGTTAAAACTAACTAAAATTAGTTGTACTTCACAAGCAGACCTATTTTTAGAGTTTCTGAGGAAACATTTTATTATCAAAATGTGCACATGGCAACATGATTCTTTAAATCCATTAAATACTTTTTTACAAAACAAAACAACACTAGACATTTCTTTTTTAAATCCACTTTAAATAAGATTTAAACAAGATTCCATTTCTTCTTTTCCCCCACTCTCCGCCCGCACCTTTGGTAAAAGTTTGTGTGCTGCTCTTTAAATTCAAGATAGCTTTTCCACTTTTCTTCTAATTTTACAAAATTTATAAGCCTCATAATGAAAAAATTAGATCAAAAAATGGCAACCACTTTCAAATGTTGTTATTTGATGCCATATTTCTAAAAATATATGCTAACTTATCAATCTGTATGACAGTTTTCCTTACAATCATTACGTTGTCTCTTTCCTCTAGTCTTCCAACAGCTATATAAAAATTGTAGCATAAATTAATAGTGCTTTCACTATTATGCCAATGCAATTTTTACAGAATTCAGAGTTCTACTGTATACAATGATAACATTTCTATTTGCATACCATTTTTCTTCCTGAAGCTAGCAATCAATTTTAATATTTAATTCCCATAACTAATTTTTTAAAATAAGACTGCTAGCTCTCTGATATACATCAGTTGGTACAGAATCTCAGAAAAAAATAAAATGGAAAAAGCAAAGTGAGATGATCCAAGAATCACTTAGAAAATCTTAATTGCGGCCCTCCCTGGTTGCGCAGCGGGTTAAAGCACAGCACTACGAAGCTTAAGCCAATTCCTCATGAGTTCGATCCCCGCCTGCCCTGGAGGAGATCCACATGGCACGGCAGACCTCTCCTGACCCGCCTGCTACTCCCCTCAGCAATGTGCTTCGTCAATCTGCCTGTTCTGCTCCCCACTCTGTTCTTGGTGAATCCTCTCACCCTC